CCGCACGCGTCCCAGTGCAGAAGCTTCCTGCTGGCCTGTGGTGAAGCTCCTTGACACAAGACGTCACGGACACGGTGGGGATACAAAGTCACCTGAGGGAAAACTACGTGAGAGCTATTTAATATAAAGCCAGGTCCAGCTTGGGAAATCGTTGACCTGTTAGTGCTGGAGCCCAGGAGATGTCTGGAGAACGTCCCTCTGCCCGTGCCCTGTTCCTATCGCCCATCCTTAGGCTGCCGTGGCCGGCGTCGGGCAGGGGAGCTGAGGCTTTGTCCTCGTCGTGGAGGCCTTGCTATCGACAAGGGCCGTGCCTGGCAGTCTTGGCTCGTCACCCAAACGCCTCCGCGTGTTTCTGGGATGCCACTCGGAGGTGGGCRGGAGGGCTGGAGACGCAGCTGCACCATTGACTTGGTTGGTCGCGCTGTGCTTTGTCTGCCCTTGGAAGCCAGCCGAGCAGCCCCGAGCCCTGCTCGTGTTTCCCTGGGAAGCCACGTGGCCGCTTGATAAGCACAAACCTGGCAGCTGTGATTATATGTTCGGAGAATATTTGACTGCAGATGCCAAGTGAGTGGAAGGACTTTATTTAGGGCGGTGAATGCTGAGAGACGAGAACAAAAAAAAAGGAGGAGAGACCAGAATATAGATGTTGGAGAGATGTTTTCTTTCGGTGCCAGCTCAACTTCCCCGGAGCTGGAGGAGTTTTCTGGGCGTTACATTTTCTGCCACTCTCTCCTTTGAGCCTCCGAGGGTCTCAGATGTGACATCCATGACCAAGGGAGGTCCTGGAGTGCCCARTGTGTTGTCCAGCTGCTGCCCCTGCCGCTATGTGGGGAATGCAAAGGCCAAATCCTTGCTTGGCACCGGTCTCCCGCTCCCCATGAAGCTGATGGATTCGTGCCAGTGGACATCAGCTGGCCCGGGGAGGATGTGCAGTGGGAGGAAAAAGTGCTGGGGATTTAAAAAACACTTTTATTTTTATTTTTTTGCTGGTGTAACCCTGCCAGGAGAGAGGAGCCCGGTCCTGAGGCCAGGCTCCCCATGGCGAGTGGGGCGAGATGGATGCTTAGGCTGGATGACATAGGTGGGCATGTGTTATGGTAGGACCTTCTGACGTGGCTGTGCTCTGCTGAAGCACCACAGGGGCTTCTGGCCTTCAGCTCTTAAACGAGTTGGTTTTCAGGTGGATCAGGTCCTGATCTGACCTGAGAACGTGCAAACCTTTCCGTGCACAGAAGGCAAGGGGCAGCCCTGGGAATGCGTGGTGGGACCCCGTCACTTGGTGCACTCCTTGGCACGTCTCCTGCTGGCTCTTCCTGGCCTTGTGGAGAGCTGGTTCCAGGTGCCTTCTGGCCCAAAGCAGCATCGCGACAGCCCCATCCTGCTCTGTGCCTTTCCGAGGGCTCCTGCTGACCCGAGGGAAGGCGCAGTGAGGAGCACGTCAGCGGCAGAGCGGGATGTGGCCCTTTGGCCAGGCCCCGTCTGCTTGGACTCTGATCTCCTGTGGGTTAAGAGATGGCTTTACTCAGCACAGTCCAACCCAGCGCGGTCCTAACAAGTAGGGGCCTTTTTTCTCTGGAGAAGAGACGGCTCAGAGGGGATATGATTAATATGTATAAGTTCAGGAAGGGAGAATGCAGGGAGGAAGGGGACAGGCTGTTCTCACTGGTGGCCAGCGATAGGACGAGGGGTAATGGCCACAAGCTGAAGCACAAGAAGTTCCGTCTCCAGGTGAGGAGGAACTTCTTTACTGTTAGGGTGACAGAGCAGTGGAACAGGCTGCCCAGGGAGGTTGTGGAGTCTCCTACTCTRGAGGTCTTCAAAACCCGCCTGGATGCCACCCTGTGCCACATGCTSTAGGTGTGCCTGCTTGAGCAGGAAGGTTGGACTAGATGATCTGTAGAGGTCCCTTCCAACCTTAAATATTCTGAAATATTCTGAAGTGATGTCCTCTTCTGTGATGCCAGCGGGCCCATCTCAGCTTTGCTTTTCCCTCCAAAGAGGTGAAGCCAAGGTGTCCCACTGCTATTTAGCCTTGGGACACCAGGGTGAAACCCTTCCTGCAACATCCCGCCCACCACTGGGCACTGCAGAGCAGGACAGGGCTCCCCGCTTCCACAGAAAAGCCGTCTCTGATGGAATGGGCTGAGCAGAGATGGGTTGGATCCTTCTCTTGCCCTTTGCCTTCTTGCCATAGTGTGTTTTGTTGGTGGCACCTGAGAGATGCAGTTACACTGGGGGGGCAAACAGCCCCCATAAGGGAGCCRGTGGCTGGGTCCCGTGCATCCGCAGTGGAGAAAAGGGCGAAGGGGCTGCCTGGGTTTGTGCTGGGGGTGCCGCGGTGCCCTGAGCCGGGCTGGGAGCCGGGACTTGCCCTGGGGCACCCGGCACCCGCTGCTCCCCATCTCTTCCCCTTGCCTTGGGGTCCGGAGCCTTCCCAAGGCGCCGTCCCTCCTCCCGGGGGAGCGGGCCCGCATGTGCCGGGCGGCGTGGGGAAAAGCTGCCTGCACCGAGTCGTTTGCTGCTGCTTCCGTGGCGAGGCTGAGCCTGGGCAGGGGAAGGAGCCGTGGAAAAACCCACCCGGCTCCTCCRGCGCCGCCGCCCCGGCCTTGCTGCTGGAGGGAGCCGCAGACGGGCAGCAGCGTAAATAGAAGAGCTGAGGAGCTATTTTAAGACTTGGGTTGCATCATCTGTGGATTAAAAAAAACAAAAAAATCTTTGTTTTCGCTGCCACAGGCAGCAGCAGCGGCTTGAAAGCCGCTCGATCCCATATGGGACGTTTCAGAGGACTTCTWTTTTCTCCCAGGCGGGGGAGAAAAGAGCGGGACCGGAGGGCCCCTTTGGAGCCAACACAGCTGTGGCCCTTGGGGTTTTTAGGGTTCCCTTTGGCACCAGGCAAACGGGGTGGGGAGGGCGGTGGAAGGGTGAGGATGTTTCCCTGCTCAGCTGGATTCGCGGCCGGGATATTGGAGCGCTCGGAGAGGGGACGCCCGTGGCTGGGCGCCCACGTGTGCCCGGCTTTGTGTGCCCAGCTTTGCGTGCCCAGCTCCCTGCCTGCTGTCTGACAGCGCCGGCCCTTCTGCAAAAACGCAGGCTCAGGCTCAGCGCGTCCAAGACTAAACCCAAAGGGAAGGGAGCAGCCGCGGAGCTTCCCCGCGGCGGCTCAGGAGTGCGAGCGTGTTTGTGCCCGGGCAAGATAAGCACGTGTATAAAGGGGGGTTATTCCCTGGCRGACACAGATGGTCCGTTGAGGTGGAGGAGCTTAGGGCTTGAAGATAAAGCGGGTTAGCCGGGAGCTGCTCTTGAAGAAGAGGGCTGTGGAGGAAGGCTTGGAGCCGGCTGTGAAGAGAGCTCGCTCTCTCCAATGGCAACTGCCGCCTCGGAGCATCAGTGGTGTCGTTCAATTAGAAAATGCTTTCTCTTTCTCTCCCYGTCTCTCTCCTGCTTCTCCATTGAGGATCTTTGTGGCTTTTTGGTGAGTGATCTGCACATCAGGACGCAGAAATGTTACGGGGGAGATGGATGAGGTTGTTGCCATAATGATAGCATAAAGCTCATATCTATCTTCTGCAAATGGCTTTGATATTAGACTTTTCCTGAGCTCTTACTAGAATGGATTTTTTTTTAAATCAGCCCATGTTCCAGGCTCTGCACTGACCCAAACAGTGCTGTGTTTTCGTGGGTATTAGAGCCCCTGCTTCRTTCTGCCCCGATGGATCTTCCAGTCCTCACCTCTTCCTGCGTGACAGCTTGGTGACAAGTTTGGCCATAGTGGCCTAGGCCCATCCYGGCTCCATGTCCCACCATGCTGTGACAGCCTGGAGGCGTTTCGTATGGCGGGATGTTGACTTGAGCTTCCATGGAGACTTGATGGAGAACCTCAGGCCACACTTGCGGACCAAGTGGGGCCAAAGCAAGGCATCAGTGGAGTTAATGTCACCCCGTTTGTGGGGAGGTGGTTTCTTTCCATCCTTGTCTTGCCCAGCGCTCACCAGAGGTAGTTTGGTTGCGTTTCTGTCTAGAGCAGAGCAAGGGTGGGACAAACCCTTCTGTTTCCCAGGAGGGAGCGCCTGGGCTTACAAGTGCCATGGGATTTGCTGGAAGAGCTAAAGGAGAGAGCTTGTCCTTCCCATGAGCTCAGGGAGAAATCCTTGTGCTTTGAGCCTTATTTCCACTCTGCCCCCATTCAAAAGAKGCCAGCAGAAGAGTTTTCATGCTGAAAAATGTCATGGGAATGTGGTCCCTTCTGGGAAAAAAATACGCTGGAAAAAAAGGTTGAGAGGGAAGGGGAAGCAAAGGAAAGGAGGAAAAGGGGACCTTTCCCCTGCTTGGATTTGAAYGTGTCCTTAGGAAATGGCAGGAGATGTGGCTTGGTGCTTGATGGATTCTCGCCTTCTCCTGGCCCACTCTTTCCTTTGAACCTCATTCCTGCCTGTCCATGTTGCAGCTCCCCTTTTCCTGCAGGAGCTCTCACTGTCCCTGTGTAACTCTTGGCACTTGTAGAAACCTGTAGCAACCTGTGGAAAAGATGGGAGAGCGTCGATGCCTGCGGGTGCGGTGATGGCAGAAGCGAGCAAGGAGCAGAGCTGTCTCCTGAGCGAGTGGTGGTGGCAGYGACGTCCCCCATGGGGCCAGCCGCTAGAGCTCGGCTTTAGGAGCTTTGAAGGCTGGAGCCCAGCTCTCTGTGTCTCAGGCTGCCTGTGTCTTCCTAGTCCCTTGGGAAGACAAAAATAAATAAATAAAAAGACATTGCTTTGCCGTGGAAAAGTGTGGTTGGTGGGGTTCAAGCACCACGGATGGGGATTGCCTGGAGCCCTCTGCTCGGAACAGAAGGGTTTGTGCCTAGAGAGGGGTTCGAGAGGGAGCCAGTGCAGGAGTTGGAGGTGCTGGATGTGGTCCCTGCCGGCCGTGGCCGAGCCGCCCGCGCCGGCCGGCCGCCTGTCCCCCGTCTAACGCCTTTGTGCTGTGTCTCGTACCGCAGAGCGCCCCGTGCTGCCGAGCCCATGGCGTACACGGCGAGCCCCGCGCCCGCGGCGCCCGGCGGCGCCCACCACTGCGTCTGCAAAGTCGAGCTGTCCGTGTGCGGCCACAGCCTCCTGGACCGCGACGTCACGTCCAAATCCGACCCCTTCTGCGTCCTCTTCATGGAGGTCAATGGGAAATGGGTGGAGGTAAGTCCTGGAGTTGTCCTGTTCCAGCTCACATGATTGACCCAATGTTGACGTCTCTCAATGATGCTGGTATTTCGGTGCAGGGGGAAGCTAAGCTTGGCTCCCGTTCCCAGGCTTCCCTCCAGTGGCAGCCGGGATGGGGACGGGCTGCATGGCAATACCCTCTGCTTGTCCACACTCTGTCCACACTCTGTCATTTTACTCATTTAAGCACCCACTAAACCTAGAAGTCTATTCGCACGTGGAATAAACTCAGACTAAACATTGATTCCTAAATAGAGCCGAGCCTCAGGGTTACTCATGGCTGGAATGAGTTGGATTAACATTTCTTTCAACATCTTTTGTTCCCTTCCTTCCCCTCTGTGCCCAGGGCTCAGCCAGAGGCTGGCGCAGGAGATCTGAGCCACCAGCTCTTGTCAGGCTGCTTTGAACAGCACGGAACAGAAATCTGCGGCGTGGGCTTGTGCTTGTGAGAGCCGCAGCCAGGCTCTGCGAGGGGCTGGGGCTCAGCTTGCAAAGCTCCCCGTGGTCCTTTTTGGCATAATATCTGTCTTTTGATCAGGACAGAAGTGGTTTCGGTGTGCCCAGCTCCGTGCAATATCGCGGTGCAAACGGCGGGCCCTGGAAGCTGCGCTGAAGAACAAGCTGCTTCTCTGCAGATCAGTGTCTCTTGCCTTGCCTTTTCCCCCGTGTTGAGCAGGAGTTTCATGCTGCTCTGGAGGCTGTGTATGGTGCCAGGTGTGCGCGAGGTCTTTCAGTGCCCAGCACAAAGCGTGCAGAGATCTCYTGCAGAGGGAAGAGCTGCCCTGAAGCTGCACCTTGGAAGGTTCCCTGCATCCTGCACCTTGAATGAAGCAGCTTCATCAAGGTTAATCAGGTTCCTCCAGGAAATCAGCTGCCAAAAGTCCTTTCAGCCCCTTCAAGGGTGCATGTGTGGCCCGGGTGTGTAAACTGTGGCACATCTGCTTTTGCTCCCATCCCATTCCCCTGGGGTGGTTTCTGTGGTGAGCTGATGGATGGCATGACAGCAGGTGAGATTTAATCACCTACCTCAAAAATAGCACCTTCTGAGAGCTGTTTCTGGCATCATAAACCATATAAAAAGCTGTTCTTGAGGTCTGACTTGAAGAGCTGCTGTTTCTGTGGGACAGGATGGGCTGGAGGATGGTCTGGCAGGTCTGTCCTGCAGAATAGAGGTATTCAGGGTATTCGGGGTAGTTTGTGTTTGAATACGTGGGGCACTTTCCAAAATTATATCAGCTTTAACTTGCTCTTTTARTGACCTTATGAGCTGTCATTTACTGAAATACTCCGCTCTGGTGAGGCCACATCTGGAGACTGTGTCCAGTTCTGCACTCCCCAGTACAAGAGAGATGTGGAGCTGCTGGAGAGAGTCCAGCGCAGGGCTACGAGGATGATGAAGGGCCTGGGACATCTGCCCTGTGAGGAAAGGCTGAGGGAGCTGGGCCTGTTCAGCCTGGAGAAGAGGAGGCTGAGGGGGGACCTGATCAGCCTGTATAAATACCTCAAGGGAGGCAGTGAGGAGGAGAGGGCGGCCTCTTTTCGGTGGTGGCCAGCGACAGGGCTAGAGGGAACGGCCACAAACTGAAGCACCCAAAGTTCCACAGGAACTTAAGGAAACATTTCTTGACAGTGAGGGTGCCAGAGCCCTGGCACAGGCTGCCCAGAGAGGCTGTGGAGTCTCCTTCTTTAGAGATCTTTAAAACCCRCTTGGATGCAGCCTGTGCCACGTGCTCTGGGTGACCTGTGTGTGCAGGGGGGTTGGACTAGGTGACCTCTGGAGGTCCCTTCCAACCTTAAGGATTCTGTGATTCCATGAAATGGGAGGGGAAAGGTGGATGTTGCATGTTAGATGCACAGTGGGATGGGGATCTGCTCTGTTCCAGATGGATAGCAAGCAGGTGGCCAATCCAAGAAGCTTCTGAGCTCTTTGCACCCTTCATCTTTCCTCCTTACCAGAAATGCCGTGCGTATGAGCTTCACTGGCTGTATTTAATGCTGGGAGGTGTTGAGGAGAAACTGCCAAGGATCTTGTTACTTGCTTGGCAAAAAGGAAAGATCGTTCCTGGATTATCCTCCCTGCCAACACTGTTTTCCCTTGGATATACCAAAATATCTGGCTTTGCAGAAGTGCCAGTGTGTGTTCTTGCTTCCAGCCCTCTGCTTCGATGGGATGAAGCTGCTTGCTAAGCTCATGGAGTGTGAGCGAATTTACCCTTAGTGACTGTCGGAATTATTTAATAGCGTAAGTAAAATGCTGGCTTGATCCCAAGGATTTGCTTCCCAGAATACTCGCCCTCCAGATCCTCCTCCTGCTGGGAAAGTCCTGCTCCCGCTAGGAGAAGGGCCAGGGYGGCCCCAGCCACTGCGAGCTGCTCCTGGGGCCACGTGTCTACCTGCTGTCATCGCTGCAGTTCACCCGGAGCTGCCCACAYGGCCTTTGATCAACCTCACCTTGGTTATCACCTGGATTATCACCCYGGCAAGACGTGTCACTTGGGTGATCCTTCCTTGTAGGTGCCAGCCTCTCAGGTGTCATATCGTCCCCGGGAAGCACCTCCTGTCCCTGGGGGCAGGAGGGAGCAGGGAGGCTCTGCCGTCCCTCTGATGTGATGGACACAGGCATTGGTTTGAAGGCCAGCCAGGGCAGGACAGCACAACACGAGCGTGGGAAGGGCGTTACAGCAGCTAAGCAGGACAAAGCRCCATCCCAGTGCTGGGAAGTGAGGTTGGTGTTTTGGGTGGTGCCGGGACTAGCTGGGGAGCCACGGCACCGCTGAATGGTGGGTGTCCCTGGAGGTGTCTGGTCGCTGGCCCCCGGCTGTCAAGCAGGTAGGTCCGGGAAGTCGTCCCGCTGCCCGGCCGGGGTGCTGCTGACCCAGCGCCCGGCTGGCGCTGACGAGCTCGCCAGGCGTGGCAGGCGGCAGCTCTTGGAGCTGATTGGAATTCTCGAGAATTTCTCGTTCGCTGTCAGCAGCGTCTCAGTCCAGCAGGTTTGATTCCACTGTTGCTTTTACGATACAGACATGTTGGTTTCTTCCCCCCCCTCTTTTTCCCTACTATTTTTARCTGCCTTTTAATTGGCAAAATGAGTACTGGAAGTTGGTCTCGAATGGCAGGTTGCTGCATGCTCCGCTTGCGGTTTCAGCGGAGGTCAGCGTTGTGCAAAACTGACGGGCGGCTTCGCTGCCGCGTGTGGGGCTGCCTCTGGCTGGAAAAGGGGGCCCTCCGGCTGGAAAAGGGGGCCCTCCGGCTGGAAAAGGGGGCCCTCCGGTGCTTCTGTGTGCAGAACGCTCTGGCTCTGAGCGTGGCTGCCCGAGATATGTCCAGCTGCTGGTATCGCTAGGGTGAGAAATCGCCTCGTACCTGCACACGCCGTGGCCGTGATGGGTGGTTAGGGCAGCTGGRCTGGCTGCAGGGGCATCCTCAAGACCTGCTGTCCATAGCTCAGACCCCCTTGGCTTAGAGCCAGCCTAGGGGTTCTTGTGTTGCCCTGCTGGGATTCTCGGTCATGCCAACAGGCCTGTTGTCGTGGCATCGCTGCATCCCCGGGATGGTCACTGGGACCTCACCCATGAGGCTCGGTTAACCTCCCTGGGTCACTCTCGGTGCTGCCGTGAAGGTCCTGGGAGCAGAACATATCCTCAAACTCAAATGTGGGCTCTCTTCATGCAAAGTCTCCTTATCAGACAGATTTATGTAGCACAGGTGAAAGCGGAGGCTTGTCCCACTTGATGCAAATGGCCTAAAATGAGTCCGTCTTGTGTCTGCAATTGGTGGGGTGGTGGCTTTGAAAACACAGCTAAATGCAAGAGATGGGTCAGGGCAGGCAATAACAGGATGAACTCATCCCATTGCATTTGCCGAGAAGCCCTGACACTCTCTGTGTCCCCGCAGGACTGGTTAGTGATGGATAAGCCACAGATACCAGTTCTCCTTTAGGACACGTGTTCTTGTCTGAGCAATGAGACCCAGCAGTGCTGGGGCTGGCTTGGAGGCTGCACCGCCTGGTGATGCTGACAAGAAAGGATTCTGCTTGCTGCTTTTTTTTTTTCCCTCCAGCTGYCAGATTTGTTCCCAAATACAATTATTTTGTCTCACTAGGCTTAGTAGGAACTAAAAGGGCTTCTGTGAATCAGCCTGGAGGGGGGAAGGGAAAGAAGAGAAAACACAAGCCAAGGAGTGACATAAAAACAGGTAACGTATTAATTTTCTGCCCGATGACATCATGTTGCAGGAGCCATGGAAGACCTGGCCCACGATGCAGGGAGCAGGGACACTTATGACTCAGCTGTCATTTCTTTTGAACCCTTCGTGAATCATCTTTCCAGCCCTGCGCATGGGGCATGGTGCGACATCGCGGCTCGCTCATGCTCTTGAGGGCCTCATGGTTTTCTAGGCACAGCTTGGTCTGAGCTGAGTATTTAAGCTGAGTCAGTTGCCAGCCTTTTGACTGGAGTTTCCTGAACTTGAACTTCCTGGGTGTCTGTGGAGGAAGGGCAAGGGAGGAAGGAGGAGCAGCATAGCATCTCTGCTCTTAAATCATGTCCTTTCAGCACTTTCCCACAGCTAGAAGTGCCTTCCTTCCCCTGCTCCTCACTCTTGCATTTTTCCAGGTCTATGAACCAAGGCCTTGTTCCTTCTAAGTAGGTCTCTTGGCTACTTTTTCAGCTCAAGATTTTCTTTGCACTTGTGACAGCATCTTCCGTGTGCCGGGGCTGCTTAAGCTTCCCTAGCAAAACTGGGGCAGGAGAGCTCTGGGGCTACAGCCCTTCAACCGGAGATCTGCCWGTTGAGATGCTTTCCTGATTGTTTGGTAGAACTAAGGCTCTTGACTGAGCAGAAATCTTTAGCCTGGTTGTCTCTCAAAAACACTTTTGCTTTTCTGCTCTTGACTTTCAAAGGCAATTCTGTACTTTACAGGGTAAGCAACGGTATAAATGTTCAGAGGGAAGGAAGGAGCTGGTGGCGTGTTGTCTCGTGGTGGATGGGGCGTGAAGTCGTTAGATGGTCGTTGGGGGATGAGAAGAAGAGGAGCTATATGAAGCATGCTGGGCATCTGGAAGCCCTGCAGTTTAGGGCTGGCAGCGGGCGGGTGTTTAAATGCTTTCGCGGCTGGGTTTTGGAGGAAGCCCCTTGCTCTGCATTAACCCCAAAMACCCTCTCAGGGTTTCACTTCCCCTGCAGGCCTCGTGCTCTGTGGTAGCTCCAAACACCCTTGCTGGGTTTTCCTTCCCCTCCGGGCGCTGTTGGAGGTGTGCCCCAGCTGTTGGACAACAYGGGCACCGTTCCTGGTGGTGAAGGCCATTCTTCCCTTGAGCATTAGTATCCATTGAAAGCACAAYAGAGCTCGTTCCTGCCAGCTGAGGTAAAACACTTGAGTTGGAGGCACTGAGACCTGGGACAGCAAGTGGCTCCTCCTGTTTCTCTCTGCTCTCCTGCGTGTCTGGCGTGGCAGAACAGAGTACGTGGTTCGTAAAGCTTGGCCAGGCTCCTGTGGCTCTTTAGAGGATGCTGGACCCTCAGCACGTGAGATGAGCTTCTCGTACGTGAGATGAGCTTCTCGTACTCCCACGGGGCAGACATCCGAGACCCCCTTTTAAGGCCACCCTCGCAGAGAGACCGGAGCGTTTGTGTGTTCACTTGCTCGGCCGTGGTACCACAGTGGTGTCTTCTCTGCCCTCCCAGCCTGGGGGCCTTTTTCAGCCTCTGCAAACCCAGCTTTCACCTTCTGGATTGATGAAGCACTGCCTGTGTGGAGGTAAGGGTGTGGGGCATCTGTGCTATGCAGGTGCTCCTGAAGATCTGGCTTTTCTTTCCCTTGGGTACTCAAAGAAATCCCTATTTGTTTCAGTTTCGTTATTTAGCAGTCTGGTTTTGTGGTTGTGCTGCTGCAGGCAGGAAGAGCCGCAGAGCCCTGGCTCGTTGCATCCTTGGCCTCAGTCTTGAACGAGCCGCAAGGGAAGCGCCCTGCGAGAACGGGGTGTCCCAGCACCCTCCACAACAGCCCTCTGCTTGTCATAGTCCTGGCCACAGAGGRATGTGGGAGAGGGGCTGGTCAGGCTTGGGATCGTTCAGGGAATGCGGGAGGAGCTGAAATCCATCTCTGTGCTGCCTGCTGCTGCAGAGAAGTTGTTTCTGAGGCTGCTTACATAGTGTGAGCGTCTGTTACTTCTCTCTGAGCAGAAAGTCCTTCAGCAAAGGGAGATGGTAAGGAAGGATCAATCTGCATGGAGCTGGCCAACCCTTCCCATGGTCGAGTTTCCAAGTTGTGAAGGAGGATGGTGCTCATGGACTGGGTGCTGGTGTTGAGGGCTGTGGGGGGGACGTTGAGCACCTTCCCACAGGTGCCCAGGCGGGAGCCAACCTTCTGGCTCGGAGGAACCTTCATGAGGTATCTCATGGGAGGGAAAAGGTCCTGCTGTCGGTGCTCTGCTTTCAGGGTGCTGGTTCCCAAGATGTCTCCGCTGCAAATGCTGTATCCCAATGGAAAGGCTTATGGGAGGGTGAATCCAAAGGAGCTTGTCCTCTAAAACACAAAGGGCTGTGGGCAATGAGAAGCTCCCCATGGCTTTGGTGGCAGTCAGACCCACAGAGCCTTGTAGTGGGAAGAAGCTGGCTGAGAAGAAAGCAGTGCGGAGCAACGGGGGAGCAGCAGGCGAGCTGCCGGCYCTTGCCGGCTCCTGGGCTGCGGTCCCGGAGGCGCAGCGGGCTCCGCGTGCCGCCCTGCTGCTCTCCAGTGCTCCTTGCAGGCGACCGCTCGGGGCCGACGGCGCTCGCGGCCCGGCGGAGCCTCGGAGCAGCGTCCGTTTCCAGCGCCTGCAGCAAGCAAGCACCTCCACGCCGGGGCCTGGTGGCACCTGGAGCACTTTGGCCTGCCCAGGGGTATTGTCCGTGGGCAGGAACTGCTGCGTTCGGGAGCTTAGTGCCACCAGCCCCAGAGGCCGCCTCCCGGTGCCCGTGAAAAGCTTGTTTCGGATAAAGTCACGCCGACATGCGGGGCCTGTTTGTTTTAGTTGCTCCCGTAACTCCCGTTGCTCCTGGAATAATAGAAGGAAATGGGAAAGAAAGGCTGGTGGTGCCACCTCACCTGCCAGCTTTGCCAGGGCAGAAGTGGTCCCTGGTGGCCCTGGTTTTGCAGCTCTTCGTCAAGCCAAAGAAACTGAGGGGCTCCAACCTGTCTGATGCTTTCACGGGTTCTTCCACAGTCTCATCCATCTTGTAGGAAACCCATTATAAAAGTGGGCTGAGAACTATCTTTTTTTATTGTTAAACTATCCAATATTTGTAGCTGTCCCTTCTTACAAAATTCATTTCATTTGCTTGCCTGAAGTTTATGATTTATCCTTGCAAGCATTTTTAAACGGTTATTACACTGTCCACTTCATTTCTTCCTCTTCAGCAGTCGTTTAGTGAAGCTCTGTGTCCTTCCTCATTGAGGGCCTTTTCTCAGCTCCCTGAGGGTGTTTTGTATGTGGTCCTCTAAACGTGTCCTTTCCCAGCACTTCAGGAATGCAGGGTGGCCTGGTGGGGAAAATGGGTCTTGAAATGACACTTTGGACCCTCCTTGGCCACGTTTTGAAGGACTTTGTGTGACTAGACCACCTTTTCTTTTCCTGCTTCATTTTTGCAGTCAGGGCAATACCTGAGTTTTCCCTTCTCCGTGTATGTCTGCCTGCGATTGGAAGGCAGGTGCTGAGGTCGTCTTGGGCTTCTGGCAATGGAGGGAGCAAACGGAGGGAGCATCCCCTGCCCTCCGGCGTGGCGGTCCCGGGGATTGTTGGCTCAGCTGTGGGATCTCGTGTCCACCTGTGCCACGCTGCGCTGTGAACTCGCACTTGCACTGGCTGCCTGCCGTACTTGCTGTGCTCTTCTCGCTGTTATCTCTCTCCAGTGCTGTGGGTGGAGATCCCAGGCAGGTCTTGCTCATCCTTGCCCTCCAGCCATGGCCCCCCTTCCCCTCCCACTAGCTTTGTGATTCTCCCAGTTGGCACCTCCCCATTTCACCTCCTTGTACTCTTTCTTCTGCACCAAACGCCTTTTAGATCCCATGAGGTGCAGGTTTTCCTTCAGCTTTGTGGGCCTGAGCCCTTGACACCAAGGTTGTTGGTGGGCCTTGGTCACCTGCCCAGTGTATGGGCTCAGCGTAAGGGCTAACTGGCCAAGGAGCTGCCTCCCCACGGCCACTGGCCCTTTGAAGCTCCTACTGTGGAGCTTTCCCAATGCTAACGTGAGTTTTTATTGGCTCTTGGGAATTGGGTTGCTTCTCTGAGGATGGATCCGAGGTGCTGCAGGTCATGGCTGTGCTGATCAGACTGTGTCCCTGCCAGAGAGGCCGGGCTSGGCACTGTCTGTGTCTCCTGGGAGATTGTTGGATTGAGGAAGGTCCTGGGCTGGCCTGGCTGGTTCTGGATGGTGCAGTGCTAGTGTGAGCAGGTGGGTGTTAGAGGGTTTGGAGAAGCGATAACGCTCCCGTCTGCTTTTCTCCCACATCCTCCTCTGAARGCAGGTCCTGCCTCTGGGAACATCCATTTGGAGAAAGGTGCCAAGYGTTTCCCATGTTAACGTGAAGCCCGTCTGTCCAGCTGTGGCTCATGGGCTGGAGCTTGTGGCACATCTGGGCTGGCGTTGTGTTAGTTCACCCCTCCTCTTCCCAAAATATCAGAGAAGAGGAGCAACATGCAGCGAARAGTTAGCACCAGCCCTCCAAACAGCATGTCTGGGCTGACAAAAGCTCTCCTTGCCTAGCACAGTAGTGTCCAAACTGCAAATTTTATGGCAGTATCGACACAAGAGTGAGTATTCTGCACACAAAACTTTGCAGTCTGGAGCGTTCTGTCCCCCAGATGGAAGGGACATCTCATTTCAGAGATGAGACTGCAGGGAAAAGCTCAGGCGATTTTCAGTCACTAGCTAGAAATGGGTTGTGTTGCATCTCCAAGATCTAGGATGCTGTGGTAGATACCTCGGAGATTTGGGAGATTCAAATTCAGTGCTGTCACAAGTCTCTCCTGGACACCTCACTTAATGTCATCTCTGTGTTCTGGTCCTGCTTGTATGAAGGAGGTTATAAACACAGAGATGCCCTCTCTGGTTGAGGGGCTTCCTGAGCTATTTTGGGTGACAAAGCCTATTAAAGTATTGTCTTCTGCTCTTTCCAGACTCTTGTATCTCCTAATGCTCATCTAAATAACAAATAAATAAATACGTAAATAAATAAATAAGGACTGTGGTGGTGGGTATTTTTTTTTCGGTTAGTGTGTTTGGTTATGGTGGCCCAAGAAAGCAAAAAAACATGTAGATGTTTTATTTTGAGGTTCTAGTGGGAAATGTTAGAGAGTTTTTATTATTATTATTATTATTATTATTATTATTATTATTATTATTATTATTATTATTTCTTTTGCTTGTCCTTCTTGTTAGCTGCAGAGCTCGGGAGAAACACAGGCTTGCTGTAGAAAGCAAGCTCTTTGTGTCTGTCTGGCTTGAGGATCAGAGAAGCTTTCTGGTAAGGAAGTTCCAGGCAGTGTCATGCCTTGTGTTGGACCTCTGCTCTTGAGGTGATTCATCCTGATTCACCTTGAGAAGAAATGAAGAGCAAAATCTGCTACAGACCTCTAAGTTCTTGAGTGGGGCTGGCTGTGGGGAACGAGCTGAACCAGTGGTACAGATGCAGTCCAAATGGCTTGGACTGGAGGAGACTGGTTTGGAACCGAGGAGGTGGTTGAGAACATCAGCTTGGGGAGTCCTTTTGATATCCCAGGAGAAGAGATGTCAGAAACAAATGCAAAGACTGGCTTCAAGAAGCTCTGAATCCACCTACGTGCTATGAAGTTAGGGTGTAGATGTCTGAATATTTGTGCCTCTTTTTCTCCTTGCAGCTCGACAGGACAGAAACAGCTGTGAATAACCTCAACCCAGCTTTCTCGAAGAAGTTCGTCATTGACTATCACTTTGAAGAAGTGCAGAAGCTCAAGTTTGCCCTCTTTGACCAGGACAAATCGAGCATGCAGCTGTATGAGCATGACTTCCTGGGTGAATTCTCCTGCACGCTGGGCATGGTGAGTCTGGGACATCCTGACCCCATGCAGCTCACTGCCCTCCAGCAGCAGGACCCCAAATAATATCAGGCTTGGGGAAGTGGGTGGGTGGGTTAGACCTGTTGCTGTGAACTGCGTTTAAGTTGCTGGGTCCTTTCTGGACAAAGCTGCTTTCAAAAAGCTGGTCACACTCAGGCTGTTCCCTGTTAGAACTGGAGTTCTCATCTGAATTTAGAAGTCTCCTTGCTCTTTGCCCAAGTCTGGACTATTTATACAGGCTCCTGCTATTGCCCGCAGAGGCAGTTATAAGCCCTGGAGAACACAGAGTGGGGTGATGCCCCCACTTATCCTGCACACTTAGCTTGGGAGCCATTTGAGGTACTTGTTTTGCTGTGGCTCCAGTGACTAGCTTGGATTGGGACTTGGGAAACTTCCGGATGCTTCAAGTTAGGATGCAGTCCTAACAATTCAGTCTGCAGCTCTTTCTCAGTTGTCTGTCTGAATGTAATACAAATGTAATTCTTTTTTTTTTTTTTTCTTCCAAAAGTTTTTGTAATAAAAATGGTTGTTCTTTCTTGTTAAGAAGGCACTGAAAACAGACCTTGCTTTGCCCATATGTGGAATAATCTTATGCTTGTGCAACAAATYGTGTCTCCTAACATGTTAGCGCAGGAATGTGTTTTCTGTTCTTGCAGGAAAGATTTTGGGATGCATGCGATTTATAAGCTTTTTGGAAGGTATCTGTTTTGCGAGAGCCCAGACCCTCCTAGGATTTGACAGCCAAATTCTCCAAACTTCTCTCTTTTGAACGTGCTCTGACTCAGAGGCAGGAAATGAGTGGGATTTTTCCATTCTTCTTGAGCATCCAGCTGCCCAGGGCTTCTGTGGTACCTGGCATGAGCTTGGAGCCTGGGAGAAGTCTCTCTTTTGTGCTCAGTGCTGGGAACCAGGAGGAAGCGGATGATATAATAGGTGGATTGGGGGACAGGCAGCTCTAGGAGTTTGGAAAGGATCAGGAATGTGGTCATGTTATTGCCCAGACTGCAACGTGGCTCTRCATCAGCCAAAGGGGGCTCGGTACCCTTCCCATTGCCAGCTGTGTTCAGGCACTCGAGACCTTGGCTTGTCAGAAGAGYGTTTGTAGCTACCAAACATGAGATGTCACGTCTCTCGGGGCTGGGTTTGGGGGTGCCCTGTAAAGCCACAAGCGAGTGCCCGTCTTGGAGTGCGCGGTGCCTCTGGCACGGCGTGGGGAGAGCGGGCTCGGGGCGCTCCAGCTGGGCAATCCGGGGGGGGATTTGGCCGGCTTTGCTGACGACATGAGCCTCTCTCTGGTCTCGCATTCCTCAGCTGCCGCCGGGGAACTGTGAGCCTCTTTGAGGAGCTCTTCCTCGGCTGTTTAGATTGCTCTGAACTCTTGTAACTCCTGCAGACTCGTGCAACTCATGTTCACCCTGCAAAAGAGCGCTTTCACGTGCACCCCCTTGGGAAATTGTGCTTTGCTTCCCGTAAGTCCATGCCAGCAGTGCGTGAGCTTCTTGCTGACATCTAACCCATGACAGATGCCTGCGTGAAATGGGACCATCACTTCTTCTTGCCCCTTTTTCTCTAGTCATAATGAAAGATTGCAGCCTCTAAGATTTCAGAGTATTTCCTCATGCCGTACCTTGGAGGTTAGAACTGGAGTTGAGCCATTCCTGGAGGTTTTCAGCCTGAAACTTTCCTCTTGTCTCCCTGTGGAGAGCACAGCCTCCTGGTGTGCTGCAAGGCCCTGGTTGCAGCGCAGCTGGATCGTGGCAGGAGCGGGAGCTGTGTGCTGGGGTGACTGATGAGGAGAGGTGTGAAACGGGGAGGGCTCCGGGGTTCAGCCAGGCTGCCGCGGGTTTTCTGGCTGCGCTTTGAGCTCCGTTTTTGTCTTCTGAGATGTTTTCRTAATCCTGCCCGGTTTTGAGGCACGAGCAGATACTGGAGGGGAAAGAAAGGAGAGTTGGATAGACATAATGTAGCTCCAAGGAACCACAAAATGAGCTTSTGGCTTTTCAGTTCTGAGCTCTGTCAGATTAGCCAGATGATTCCATTGCAGCTAAGCACTCCATGGTGAGATTCCAAAGGGTGGCTGCATCTTTCTGGGATCTGTGATAATCTCCTTGTTTGGCTACAGAGGTTTCCCCACCCTGCAGGCAACGTTGCACGTGTAGCTCATGTCATTTGATGGCTCCTATGCTGTCCTGGAGGAAAAACTCCAGGACGCAACCCGATCAAAGATGTGCCACAACGATAAGGAGCTTTACCTTGCAATTGCAAAAAGAGAGAGAAAAGCCTTGCTGGGGAGGAATGGGAAGGACAACAGGGTCTTGGCTGTTGGGAAGAACATTAACGGGGTCTTGGCTGTGTCGGAGGGCGCTGTGCCAAGTCCTGGGGCTCGTTCTCGTGACGCACAAAGAGTTTGGTTCAGGTACTGGGGATGATGGTGGTGATGGGAGTGCTACCCAGGTCTGTTTTGAATGCCATGTGTGTCTTCTGCTGCCGGGAACGCTTCATCAGCACCAGCTAACGTGAGCAATGCTCACTTGCTGATGACTCTGCTCTCAGTCGCTTGTATAATGGTGACTTTGTTCTCTTTGGCTCCTCCAGATCGTCTCCAGCAAGAAAATAACAAGAACTCTCCTTCTGGGGAACGGCAAGCCAGCTGGGAAAGGGATGATAACGGTATGGTTACTCATTTATGTTGCATATTGAGTGGGTAAATACAGATAATAAACCAGGAGGGAAGCAGGAGACTTGCATGGGACCCAGGAACCAGGGTTTTTGGCTTGTCTGCACCTTCAGATCCTCCCATTTGCCTCAGATCTGTTGGAGAAGGAGGTATTTGGGACAGGGAGCATCTTTCCTGCTCTACTTTGGGTGTTCAGCACCAGGAGCCCTGCATCTTGATATCTATCTCTTGTGCATTAAATAAGAAAACCTACATTTGGAGAAGGACAAAGTAAACATATGTTGTTGTTGCTTGTGATCTTGTGATACAGCGTGTCTGCTCGCTGAGCAGATGGAGGTAAAAGGGCTGGTTACGGCACTGATAATCAGCGGCTGTGTTTGTAGTAAGAGGATGGGAGTTGTGTGGTGGCAACAGGTCTCTTAGCAACAGCCTCTGCTCCTCGTGCAGACCCCTTCAGGCAGTGGCATCCCTGCTGCTGATCTCTTTGGGGATGTCTTTAAAGACACTAAATTTAGGCCTGTTTCCCCCATCTCTCGGATATCTCTTCTGCTGGTGAGAGGGGCTTTGTTAGACTTGCAGCTGGTCAGCCAGGATGGGGGAGAAGCGGCTCTTCCTCCCTCTGTGTTGCTCAAAATGGTCCACAGGGTTAAAGCCCATTTATGTCAAAAAAAAAAAAAAAAAAAAAGAAAGCATTGGAAGGGTTTAAAAATGGTTTGAAAGACGAGGATGGGGATCCTGCAAGAGCATCTCCCTTGCTGTTTGCTAGGGAAGCTGCTGTCCCCATAGGACAAGAGGAAATGGCCTCAAGYGGCACCAGGGGAGGTTCAGGTTAGATATCAGAAAAAAGTTCTTCATGGGAAGAGTAGTYGAGCACTGTAAGAGGCTGCCCAGGGAAGTGGTGGAGTCACAGGCCCTGGCAGAGCTCAAGAAACGTGTACGTGAGGCCTTTAGAGACATGACCAACAGGCTTGGTGGGGATGGGTTTACAGTGGGACTTGATCTTGAAGGCATTTTTCAAGCAGAGTCGTTCTATGATTCTGTATGTCCTGGGAGCCCCTTTCCCTTGTGTCTGGGCATGGTGTTGGAGCATGGTGATGACCCCCATGTTAGGACTGCTGTGTTTTGGGGCTTACAGCAGCCCCAGACAAGGAGCCTTCTGCTTTGGGCTCTGTAAACATCAACTCATACAAAGGAAGGATTTGGGAGCCACATTCCTCACCCACGTTGCCTTCAACTTCTTCCAAATTTCTTTTTTGTCCACTGCAACATRTAAGTGTTCTGGCAGTGAATACAGTAGCTGAATGAATGGGATCAAATGAGGGCTCCTAAATTAAACAGCTGAGGAAATCCCAAAGCTGGTTACTGTACTGGTAGAAAGCAATCCTGTATTTACAGGAATCAGTCTGTGAATAKCTTTGATTTCTGTCATTTGGATAAAAGGCGTGCCTCTGTGGGTTGTTATTGACTGCACTGGCCACGAGAAGATACTACCAGGACCTGCACTGCTGTGGTACAAGCAAGTGTCTGGTTTGTCCCTAGTCCTGGTAATACTGATGGGAAGGATGCTCAGGTTTGCACTCGGATCCTGTGCTGGGAGCAGCTCTGTACTGGAGCCAGCCTGGGAGCTGAACCTCCTCCTGTTCCTTAGATCAAGGTTTCCACRAAGGTCCCTACACTGCCTGTTCCTCTCCTGATGCAGAGTGTTGCCTGCTATATTTTTTAGTGGGGAACTCGTTATGATTTTATCTACAATGGTTGATATGTGGAGAGAGTGAAAYGCTGGATTTGGACTTGTTTCCAGGTCCCATTTGGCTTCTCCAAGCTTTAGCTTACCCCTTGGATCTCTCTCCATCTCAAATCACTTGTTGCTCCAGTTAAAAGTGAACGTCTACRTGGTGAGGGGTTGTAGTTAGGTGTTGGGGGACCAAGGAAGCCCCCTCTTTGCTTAAAACGTTTGGTGCTCGGAGCTGTGCAGGAGCTTCGCTGCTTCCCTCCTTCCCCAGCACAGCTGCCCAGGCAGATTCAAAGGCTACAATTCTGTAATTATCTCGGCCAACTCTGTGGTTTGATAAGAGCAAAYAACCCTTTGATTGCTCATTCTGAGCAAAACTGTCCCCTTGATTTCCCTGAGCTTTGTAAGGCCTGGCAGCAATCGCTATGCTGTGTGCACGTAGTGAAGCCCGTCCCGCTCCCGCGCTGCGGCACGGGGTGGTGCTGGCGAGGGCAATAACATCCCCTCGGCGCTGCAGGGCGCTGCCCTCGTCCTGCCTTTCCGTCCACGGCTGCGTGGCTGGCGAGCGTGACGGCTGCTCCTGAGTTTGGGGAYGGCCCGAGTTGGGGCAGGCGAAGGGCAAGGAGCCGCGCGAGAGGGAAGCAGAGAACAGATGTTTGGGCAGGATGGAGCCTTGAGGACAAAATAGGAGCGATTCAGAAAATTGCAGCTAACAGAAGTGAATTATTTCTTCTTTTTTTTTTTTTCCTCTTTCCTCCTCTATTTTTTTTTTGTCAGCATAAACATTCTCTTTCTTAAAATACCAAGAGACTCATTAGACCGTGTTCCAGACAAAACCTGCCCACTGGCGCTTGGCAGTCAGAGCCACTTGGAGGAGCGGGTGCGAAATGTCTCGTAAAGCTGCAAGAAGCTGCGCTCTGCTGCAGGGAGCCGGGAGCAGGGCCTGCACCGTGAGCTCCAGGGCCGGATCCGTGGGCAGGGAGGTGCAGGAGAGCGAGGCTCCTTTGCTGCAGGAGAGGCTCCTTTGCCATGGGTTTTGGCTACCTGTGTTTGGGAAGGAGGCAGCCTGGAGCATCCCGGGGGTCTGTTCGCGTGTCGTTCTCTGTTGACTCCCAGCCCTGCAAGCGAAGGGGCTTCCCCGGCCGCAGCCCRTGGATGAGGTGGTCCAGGCTGGTAGGTGTCCCCGGGACTGTTTGCGAGGTCAGTAGCGGCCCTAGGTGCCCGTTTGGGTTCCTTTGAAAGGCAGCGTATGAAGAGTCTCCTTGCAGGATGAATGGTGCAAGGAAAGACTTTTTCTTCTCTTCCCCGTACAGCAGCTGGGGAGTAGGCTGTGGTCCCAAATTACCCATTGGTTTGCAAAGGTAACATTGATGTTCAAATATATTAGCTTGAATGTAGTTCTGCAGAAGTTCTTGGGAGGTTCTGCAGAATGTGTAGAGGTATCTCCTAAGCATTTATCCTCAGGTTCTGAATTCCCTGGTTTTTGGCTTGGCACTCATTTTTCACGCTGGAAACCAACACAACTTTCCCTTGTCTTTCAGATAGCTGCCCAAGAGCTCTCGGACAACAGAGTGATTACTCTGAGCATGGCTGGCAGAAAACTGGACAAAAAGGTAAGAGCTCTTGGGTCTACAAGATCATAGAATCATTACGGTTGGAAAAGACCTTCAAGATCATCAAGCCCGATCATAAACCCATCACCACCATGCCTGCTAAACCATGTCTCCGAGTGCCTCAACTGCACTTTTCTTGARCACTGCCAGGGACAATGACTCCTTGCTACCGTGGGCAGTCTGATCCAATGCCTGAGCATTTCTGGAAATGTCCTAATGCCCTTCAGGTTAGGAGGTCTAAAGAAATCTTTGCTCATAGGTGTAGCTGGGACTGAGAACAGCCCCACTGGAGAAGGCAGCATTAAGCTGGAGCTCTGGATTCAAGCCCTGCCTATGCCTCTGGTCAAGTTGTGCCTCTGTTTCTCTKCTGTCCCTGTAGTGCTTTCGAAATGCTTGTGGAGATGGAAAGATCATGTGTCACACCGGATCTGGGCACTGTCATGTCTTCAAGACAGCGTTTTGAGACAAATCTGTTACTTGAGTGACTATTTTTTTTTTCTTTTTGAGACATCTCCTGACTGAGCTGACAGTTTTGCTACCCYGTGAATTGAATCAGCATTTCAGCAGCATTGCAGAAGTGCTACCGGCTCGTTGCTTCTAGGCTGTCTCTAAATGAAGTATATTATTTTATATTTCAAAGGAGAGGACCTATCTCTTYGTGAGGGAGAAGCATTGACCTTGTGGAAGTAGAGAACATGCCGATTTGGCTTTGGGCGTGATGCACAGGAAACCAGAAGCCCTTTTGAACAAAGCAGCCTGACCGTACTTACCAAGCAACCAAAACTATTCTTCTTAAACCAGTTCTGTTGCTAAGCGATCGATGGGATTTGCTTTTTTCCTTCCTAGTCTCTCTGGAGCTTGCATTAATGACAGGCTGGTCCTTGGTTTTCAAAGTGAGCATCCAGGCAGAAGGGTATTTTGGAGGGGCAGAAATGTGGGGTTGTCCTGTCCTTTTGCCCAAAAGAGATGGGTGCAAAGCTCATCCAAGCATTTTTCTCAATGATTGGCAACTGTTGTTTCCACTCCCTCCCACTTACCCTACCAGGTCTTGTACTCTGTAGTGAGGGGTACTGAATGCCCCTGGTAAGGAATCCTCACATAACTCCCTTTCCCAGGTGGGCTGGCTGATGTCCTGTGAGTTAGTGGYTTCCTCTGAGACTGTCTGAGAGTGAATCCTACATGTGTCAGAGAAGAAATCCCTARTTTTCTTCTGGAGCCCCAAGGAAATGCCTTGTCAAGCCAGAGATGAGACATCATGGCAGGCAGGGGACCGCTCCTTCATGCTTTGGGGGTCCCTTTGCAGCCACGGCCAGTTTAGAGAGCCGTGCTAAGGGCCTGAGGCCACCAGCACTGGTGCCTGAGGCCCRTGAGCATGGCGAGTTAGTTGGTGACACCAGTTGCTCCGCGGGCAGGAGATGCCTTTCTGACCTGCTACATGACCAAGCTCCTCTGCCTACGCAAAGGTACRAAGGCTACACGGAGCTGAAATCTTGTGATGTCCCTCAAATAGAGAATGATACTGCGGGTATCTGTGGCTATCAACGGCRAGTACGTTGACCTTCAGACCCCAAATCAAGATGCAGTCATTCAACATCTGCCTGCAGCACTTTGGGCAGGCTGTTTGTAACACAGGTAGGGGATTGCACTGGGAGAAGGACTCTGAATAATGCAGTTCTTTCTAGGTCTCCCTGCAGTTTATCGGCAGAAAGCTCATTCGTGTGTAGCTTCAGGCTTCGCTCCAGTGACCATTTACTGTTAGCAGCAGCTAACTGAGTTGCTTGGCCAATTCCTCTAATCCAGCGCAGTGCTGAGGAGCACCAAGTCTTGATAATGGGCAAAAGATGTTGGTGTCACTTCAAAGTGAAGTACCTGCAACTTAAATTGTCCTTAAGCATGTAGAAGGAAATTGGGTTGAACTCTGCTTTTAAAAAAGAAAACCTGAAATGCTGCATGACCTGGAAACCCCACTCTTTAGCAGCTCTCTTCTCAGCAGAAACGCTCACTTTCCAGCCCATCTGTCCCAGATCAGATGTCTTTGTCTTCACGACCATTCTGTGGTTTTAAACGCCGTTGCAGGCTGTGTCGATACTGCAGTAGATTCAGTTTTCTTTGCTGTTCCCCTTGGCTTTTTGCAACCCGTAGTGTGATGGGAGTYGGATGTTGGCTGCTGAAATCCCACCTGGAGCACAGAGCTCCAAGACACTCCCCATTAAATGCCGTGTTGCTGATGCCAGCACCATCCTCTGRCTAAGAGCAGGTTCTTCCTCTGCATCACACGTCCGTTGTTTTCCCACATGCTGCTCACTACCTTAGTTTAAATGGTGAGAAGGAGACCGAATTGGTGTTGAAGTCTCTGGMCTGGGTCCAACAGCCAGGCACCCACCTGGATGCCACCCTGTGCCACATGCTCTAGATGTCCCTGCTCGAGCAGGGCGCTTGGACTAGATGATCTGTAGAGGGTCCCTTCCAACCTCAACCCTTCTGTGATTCTGTGATCTTGTGGGAGAGCCACCACTGCCTTCCTTGCTTGTGATATTCGAGAGCCCAAATGGATGGATGAGATGTTGGAACTAGTTTGCGGCTCTGCCTTGCTGATCCCTTTCCGTTGTTCCATTTATGGCTTTTCCATTGGTGTCTGATGTTTTAAAATAGCAATCCACAATCTTGTGGCTTGGAGGCATCTCCCACCCTGCTCTGGATGGGACAAGGCTGTCCAGTCTTGCAAACCAGGCTTCCCTACTGTGCACGGGATCATTTCAGAGCTCCTTGGCCAGCTCCCTTGACCCTGTGGGATACCGGTTAAACCATGCAGGATCCGTGGGGATTAGGTACATGTTGCTCRTTCCTCAGTTCAACAGTAAAGCCTCAAAGCAGGGAGTTGAGCCTGCGGGTGAGTAGGCCGTAACCAATAACGGTGCCACAACCGTCTCCCCTGKAGAAGGAATGGCCTGTTTTTCTATTTCACAAAGGTGTGCAAAAGAGTAGGAGAAAAACAGCCTCAGCTCCCCACCAAGCACCTCTCTGGCAGCCTTCGTGGCCTGCTCTGCTCCACTGCCCGGCTGTAAATAAAGCAAAATGAAATGAGAGCAGTCATTGGAGGTGACTGGGAATTTTGACCACAGCAAGGCATGGCTCCTCCAAGCCCAAATGCTTTGCCGYGATTTATGCTTCCAACTAACTTTGAAAACGGCTAGGATTTGGGTATAAATGTTAACAGGCTTTCTGCTGGGGAGTTGCTTGGACCTGTGTCTGTAACAGCCCCGATCTCTTGRGCTGGCTCTGGAGGAGGGATCCCAGCGTTTCCAGGCTTCTTACCTGCAGCTCAGAGTCTGCCTCTGCAATCCCACCGCATGGCCTGCAAGTCCGAAAAGACCCTCCACAAACCAGTGGGAAATTCCTCTGGGTCGCTGTAGGATTCACGCAGCTATTTCCACCTCAACTGGGAGAAAGCTCAGCTGGAAAGGCTCGAGCTCTCCTTAAAGACAAGATAATTCCCGATCTTTGTCCGCAAGGGGAGCAAGCGCCCCGCAATAGGCAGTGTGCAGAGAGCAGGGAGCAGTGCGCGTCTCCTGTTGCTCCTAAACCAGGAGGAAAAACAAGCAGCCCTTTGGAAGGAGGCACTGACGGGCAAGGCAAGTGTGCACTGACTGAAGCCTGCATATCTCAGAGGGTGTTAGATGATCTCTGTCAACACTAATGCAGCTTATTCCTTCAAGATTTGCTCTGCTCCTGTTTTATTGCTGTGTGTGGGAGGTTTTTTTYCCCCCAAGACACTTGTGCACTCTATAATTCTTTTTTTATTATTATTTTATTATTTTTTTATTCTCCTCTTCTGAGCCTCGGATGTTTTGCTCAGCTGCCTCCCAGCTGGGCTGTTTCCCGTTGCATCTGTGTCCAAAGAGGCTGCCGGGCTCGCAGGATGCCACGTCAGGCACCCTGTCCAAGCCCTGCCGGTCAAAACGGCGGGAACAGAAGGTTTGCACGACGTGTGAGCAGGTGGCAGTCGGCATCCCGGCACTCACAGTGTGCTAGGGATGCAGATGGGGTCTCAGGAGGTCCCCCTGTGTTCCCCTCGCCCTGAGCCGGGATCAGCAAGACTCGGTCGTGGCAGCGCTGGGCTCCCCGCCGAGTGCCCTGGAGACTCGGGCATCGTGCGGGATTGTGTGTGCCGGGCACTGCATCACGGCTGGTTTTGGCTCCAATAGTTGTCCAAGGTCTCTGCAGGTGACGCTGCTCAGTGCACTCACTGTCCCGCATTAAACAAGAGCATCCGCATGAGGATCTGATTTGCAGCCGGGAGCTGCACTCAGTAACCAGAGGTGGGATTTTAAGATCATCCTTTCAGCTGGGGTGGAGACACCCTTTTGAACTGATTTTAAAGCCATCTTCTCTCTGTCAGGCTTCCCAGTGCAAGCTGGGACCTACACAGGAGTTCTGGCATGTTTGCTAAGTGGGGAGGTGAGCTTGGTGCCTTGTTGTGTGGTGCTCCCATACGTGGCCCTCGAGTCATCCCAGAGATGAGATCTGAGCTGTGAGATCTTYTCTGAGACCTACACTAGACACCTGCCATCTCTTCTGACCAGCCCAGGCCCATGTTCGCACGTGCTGTGCGTGACGCTAATCTACCCGTTTGTCTTGCCCACTTGGCTGTGGGATGGTCGTTAAGGTCTGTGGTCAGTTGGGCTTGTGTCCGTGTTCAGYCCAAGGTCCATCTGTTGATGGAGTTGCAGGAAAAGGGAGAGGAAGGAGGTCTCACTTGGCCTGGCTGTTGCTTGACCATGAAGCAGTTGCCTGAAAAAGCACCGTGCAACCCGTGCTGTTGTTCTTCCCCAGGACCTGTTTGGAAAGTCGGATCCCTTCTTAGAGTTTTATAAACCAGGCGATGATGGGAAATGGATGCTGGTCCACAGAACAGAGGTAAGTCCTACTTTAACTGGCCTAGTGGAAACATTGCTAATGTTAAATTGGCATTTTTTTTTAAGAGCTATTAAGTCTCTATGGTATCCTTGACCTCGTGACTTGATTCCTTCAACCTAGATACAATTCAGTAGCCAGGGCTGGTGGACTTATTTCATGGAATCCAGGTGTCCCACTCGCACYCCATGTCCATAAGCACCAGGATCTACCACCAAATGGTCCAACCAGGAGCTCCTCTGACACACACCAACTGCTAAATCTTYATCACGTCTCTTGTTTTTTTTCTGGATTGGTGGCAATGACCAAGGTTTTGAACAAATCTTTCCCATCCATTAGGAGTCTCCGGATGATATGGGRGGTAGTCCTTTTTTCAGACTTTGGCTTGCTTCAGCTTCTCCCACTTCTCGGAGCTGCTGACTGTTGTTGTCTTTCACTTGTCCGGGACATGTGGTGGGGACATAGACAACTCTGTGGCTGCAGCTGCCTTCTTGTTGGGCTCGCAGGACCACCATGTATGATGGGCAGCAATGCTGTTCCATCCCTCGGTAGTCAGAGTGTCRCTTTTCCACAGGCGAGTTGTTCATGCCCTGGTTGTATCAACGCAGGCTTCACAACTTCCCTCCTAGGAGCAGTGATGCCCTTTGTCGTTGTTGCAAGTCATCCTTTAGCCCTGGCTCTGCTGTTTCTTCTGGTGCTTTCCCATCTGTTCGTGTTTCCCTCACACTCTTTATTTCTGTTGTAAGTCTCCGCACTGCGGGAACAAGCTGGGGTCACGCTCTTTGGTCGTTTCCCAATGTTTAATGGGGATAGAAAGCATTCCAATGTCTTTCTTTCCAGCATGGGGATTTTGAGCATGCTCCAATCCTTTCCTCTTGGAGGAGGTGTGGGCACTGCAAGACAGCGTGCATGGCTGTGGGGCAACCGTCATTGAAATTTCCRTGAGCGGGTTGGGTTTATAGCAAGCTGTCCTCACATGTCCTGTGAGCAGCTCTGATGTGCACAGAAGTATGTCCCCAGCCTGCTYGCATTTGCTTAGCCCTCCAGGTTTCCACCAAGGCATTACACGCTCTCAGTGAATGTCAAAATCGTATTTCTTCAGCTCAGGCAGATGTTACACGGAGGAGGAGATCTGGACTGGCTGGAGGCTCTTCTGCTTTGCTGCCTGTGCTGCTTTGTCCACCAGATTTCCTTCACTGCCCCTGGAGAGAGATGCTTGCCCTCGTCATCCGAGGGGATGCAAGGAAATGTGTTGTACCTTGTGCAAACTATTGCCTAGGAATGGGCAGCTGGAGAACTGCTGTGTCTTAGCTAAGGAGGCAGGAAATGATGGAGATGACTTTCTGCATGATATCTGACTGTCCTCCCTGAGAACCTGGCCGTGAACCCCTCTTGGAAACCTGCCCCCTGTTTTATGCTCAACTCTCCTCTTTCACATGTGTCTGTGGTGACTTCATCCCTCTGTTCTCACCCCACAGGTGATCAAGTATACATTGGACCCTGTCTGGAAGCCCTTCACTGTGCCTTTAGTGTCACTGTGTGATGGAGACGTAGAGAAGCTGATAAAGGTAATTGTGGGCCTCTTCAGCTGCCGTTGTGGTGGTCGGCCTCATGATCCTTTCGACCTCTGAAACGCTGGGGTGTGTTATAAGGAACTTGTTTGGGGCTCCCCGAAAGAGTGTCCGAGGCTGCTCTGTGCTCCTAGGTCATGTGTTACGACTACGACAGCGATGGAGGACACGACTTCATCGGGGAGTTTCAGACCTCAGTGGCCAGGATGTGCGAAGCCCAAGATGCCTTTGCAGTAAGTGCTGATGTCTCCTGCGAGGAAGAGTAAGGAAGGGGCGGTAGCGARGGAAGGGCTGGTGGAGAAGTGGGTTATATGGGATTTCTTTGCTGCTCCCAGTGAGCCTTTGGACCTGTGTTGGGGTCAGTGAAGGCCTCAAGAAGAGGCCAAATCCAAATCCCTTTCTCCTCCCACCCACACTGTGAGTGAGTCACACCACTTTTGTCACTAAAACAGCTGAGTTAGAGCTAAGATGGGCTTGCCTSCAGGCTCTGTTGAGACGTCTGGAGCAGCATCTAAAGTCAACAGAGATGTAACTGTTTGAGGCTCGTTTTGCTGACAGTTCCTCCCACGGTATCTTGGGCTCTTGCTGCTCAGTATGTCCTGCGATTCTGGGGGGCTGGAAGGGGAGGTGGCAGCCCCCTTTCCTCAGCTGGTGGGRTGTGCTGTGGTGGGACATGCTCTTGGGACTCAGTGCCCTGCCACAGAGAGGTGGTCCCCGCTCCCGCGCAACTCGGCATTGCTTTCATGGCAAAAGTGTCCGTTTTTCCGCTGAAATGCCAGGCAGAAAATCTGCTCAGATGCTGCCTGATTCAAGGCATGCAGTGAAAACGTTCCTAGATAAACAAGAGGACACCTTTTTGTAGTACTCATATCTAAAATTAAAAGCTAGAGGAGCACTTGGCTGGGAAGTGCATGTCTCTAAAACACAGACTTTGTGGCCAAATTAGAAAATTTCACAGATGGGAAACTGAGGCACAATGGTGAAGCATCCTGTCCAAGACTCACAGGTTATTTCGCCCGCAGTTATGGATCGAGCTCCTTTATTTTTCCCTGGAATCAACCTTGACAGCCTAGCACTAAAATCTTCTTTCCTCCCCATCCAACACCAAGAAGCGTAAGTTTAATTCACTCTGATCCCGGGGGGTGACACGTCTGAGAGCTTGGCGTGGGGCCGGCTGAGGACAGGTCTCCCCTGCGTCTTTCCCTTGCATGGCTTGCCCCCCAGTGCCCCTGGGAACACCGGTGGCGTTGGGCAGAGATGAAGATGCCCTCGGGAAAGGGCAGGCACCCTCCATTCCCCGGAGACGCTGCGAGCCGAGCTGCCTGCGAGCGCCGCGCGTGCTCCGAGCTGTCGGCCGAAGCGAGCGAGCGCCGTGCAGCGCCGCTCCTCRTCCCTCCATCCCGCAGGCAGCTCCTCGTGACCTGTCTCATCCTTTGCCGCGGCCACGTTGACGAGGATAAATACAGAAACAGGAGCGGAGCTGCTGCTGCTGCCGTGTTCGCAGACGTGAGCAGCGCTGTCTGGCCGTGTCCTGCCTGCGGTGGGGACGGGGAGAGGCTTTGTACCCCGTCCAGAGCGCTTTGGATCAGGCTGCGCTCCGAGCGTSGCTGGAAGGATGGTCTCCTGGCTGCTCGGAGTAGCTGTTCCCACTGCAAAACGTCAGGGACAAACACATCACCCTGCCCAAACGGTGAGGCCAAAAGCTTCCTCGAGTGCGCCTGGCATTTGGAGACGCCCTGCGGCTTTGCTGGTCCCTGTGGGTTCCTCAGTTTCCCCAAAGAGCTGCACAGGAGAGCATCTTGTCTCTGCGCCGAGAGTCCTCAGCAGGCTGCAGTCACCTCCCAGGGGCGTCAAGAAGGACGTGGCTGTGGAACCGCTGACACCAGCATGGTGCGGGGTCACGATGCAGCGGCCGAGCTCCTACACATTTTTCTGTGCTCGTTGCAAGGAGTAAGCTGTGAATTCTGTASGACCGAGGGGGTGGAAGTTGCCCCTTGCAGTGGGTGCGGTCCAACCTTTTCCTTAGCCACATCTCTGTTAAGTTCCTGTGTCTTTCTCCAGRGCTTGGGCCACCTTGGCCCTATGAACCAGGACTGCTCTCACTGCCAGCTCTTGTCAGAATGATTCAGGCCCTCGTTTACTGTCCTGAAGCGTATTTAATTCTGCTTTGTTGACGTTTGGGCTTTTTTTCCCTGCGTGAGCTGCCATTTGACCTMTACTAGGATATGAGATGGCTGCAACTCTTGGCCCGATGTGTTTTTGTTTGCGTGTGCTGCATGAGCTGCAGTGCAACAGGCAGCTGAGTGGTGAGCCMCGTTGGATCTGTCAGAATTTGTTGGTCCCTTCTCACCTCATCCCTTGCCATCCCTTCTGTGGGACACGTGTCCCCCTGCACTCTGGTGGTCCGTGGTCCATGGCTGGCACTGTGAGGGGTTGCGTGGTGCTGCTCTTTGCATGGCTACATCCCCAGATACGAACTCCATCCCAGCACTGCCCTGGACCTGTGAAGACTTGGAGTAGGTGGAGAAGGTCACACCAGAGCATCTGTCTCGGCACTTGAAGCTTGATGGGGCACCTGCTTYGAGCTCGTGTTTTCCTTTTGCTTAAAGGCTGGGCACCCTTGCTAGGGCTGCCAGGGTCCCGCTCAGCGCAGGAGGAGCTGGTTKCTACCATGTGAAGTTCTCAAGCACCTCTGCTCGAGGGAGCAAAGACCAGCAGATCTGTGGCCAGCAGGCTTAAACTCAACTGCAGAGGGTCTGCCCTGTCCCCAYGGGAAGCGGACGGGACTCTTTTTAGGAGAAGGTGGAGTGAGCTGCTGCTGGGGACCACCACTACAAGGCACAAGCAGAAGAGCAGAAGCTCCCAACTTCCTTGGTGTCCAAGACGGGAGCCAAAACTGCTGCAGCTTTGGGACGCAGAGAAGCCAYGAGCAGAAGGGTGGAGTCGGGCTCTTCCCTGCAGTAACTTGCAGATAGGTCCACGAGTGCCTTGTTTACTGCCTGCCCCTGCCCACGATCGCTCGGGACTGGTGAAACTCCTCGGCTTTTGCACTTGTCTGGTCTCCCGTGCGTCTAAATTCAGGTGCCTGCTCCAAATAGTGCCGCAGTCCCAGCACTGCGGATCCTGGGAGCGAGTGCCACGTGTCCCCCTTGGCCCYGTCGTTCACATCACAGGCCCTGGGGAAATCTGTGGGGCCGGATGAGCATGTGTTTTAGCAGAGAAATGGTCAGGAAAGAGCTGGGATTTGCTGCTAGGGACAAGAGAGGACATTTGCTGTCTCGATGTCCCACTTCCCCTCTTCTTCCAGCTGCAGAACTGAGATTACATTTCCCTCCCTTTCTCCCCGGTCTTTCTTGCTGGATCTTGGCAGCCTTCAAGCATGAGATGTCTCTGGGATGAGAGCAGTGGAGAGCTGTGGTGTATTTACCCACTGGGGCCTTGACCACCTTGGTTCCTCCATCCGGCTCCCCTTGGGTCCTTCTCAGCTCTGCTGGAGCTTTTTTCTCATAACTCCCCCAACTTGCCCCGCTTTGGGCTCCTGATCCTTCTCTCCCTGCTCCCTTTGACTCTACAAGGAGCTCCTCGAGCACGGTGCTGGTTCCAGGCATCTCCCCATCCCTCACTGCGCTTTCTCCACAGCCTTTTGGCCTCCAGTGAGCTCTGCTCTCCTGCAGGCTGCTCCCTTCTCCTGCAAGCTCCTTGCAAGYGGAGTCATTTCTTTGCTTCCCATGGAACATATTCACCGCTTGCCGGAGCAGGGACCGGTGGGGGGCATTACTCAYATTGCTCTCAGGCGAGCAGAGAGCTGGTTTTCTTCCCGAGTGGTTTAATGTCTTGCACCAAGGCACAGGGAATGAAGAGAGTCCCGGCAACAGAGAGGATGTGACTGTGCTTGCTGGTCAGCCCTGCACAGCTGTGGGCAGGTTGGGTCCCAGCAATGGGGACGGGTGGTGGGAGAATCAAGGACGAGCAGCCAACCCAGGCTGGGACTGTGGAGAAGCTAAACTCACATAACTGGGAAGAAAATTCCTGAGGAGCTGGGCTGGCTTCTCCGTGCTGCAAACATGCCAGGAGCAGGGGAATAGATCCCCGTTTTGCTTTGGGTCTGGATCTGTATTTTGCATTTTTGTGAGACGCAGATTCTCAGCAGTGTTTGGGCAGTTTGATTTCGCAGTTGATTTTGAAGGGCCCTTCCCTGTCCCTGCCCCAGGCTTCATCCTGCTGCCTTCCATCCTTCCAGCAGCCATCGGGGATGTGCTGACGTATCTCCCTGTTTCTGGGCTCTTACAAGCCTCTCTCTCGCTGAAAGGAAAGTCAACATGAGTGTCAACCTCCAGAGTGGTTCCCCACTTCGTTACTACCAAACCACCCCCAGACTGAATGTGTCTCCCAAAAGCAGCCTGGACCCACCTTCACCTTGGTGTCTGTGTTGTGTGTTACAGCTGGAGCTAGAGTGCATTAACCCCAAAAAGCAGAAGAAGAAAAAGAACTACAAGAACTCCGGGATCATCGTTGTCAAGTCCTGCAAAGTGAGTACAGAGCTTGGATATTGCTTTTTATTCCTCCCCCGGGTTGAATCTTTTATTTGCATGGAGAAAAGCTCGTCCCCTAGCTCCTCTGCAGACGGTGGGAGTCTGGTTTGGCCCCGGGGAGAGGCTTGTTGGGTCAGGTGCCGTTGCCACCRCCAACACTTCCACATCAGGGGGTCTCCTGTCCTGCCCTTTCACACGCACAGGAGCCAGCCCTGTTTGGCTCCTCTCCACACGTGGGGCATGAAGTGCCAAGGCGCTGCCAGGGGAGAGGCAGGTGCTTCCTCCYGCTTGCCTTGCCGCTTGGATAAAGTTTCCTGGAGACGCAGGGGTGTGAGGACAGGAGGCTCGGGCAGTCCCGTGGGACTTCTTGTGCCTTGACTTCTCCTGCAGTGCTGAAGGATGCTGAAACCCTTCCTCTGCTTCTCTTCCAGATAACCAGAGACTTCTCCTTCCTTGACTACATCCTGGGAGGCTGCCAGCTGATGTTCACTGTAAGGGCAGCCACCGCTCTCTGTCCGGCAGCGGTAACAAATGCAGAATGGTCCAAACGGGCGGGGAACTCTGCCTGAGGCTCTGCCACAGCGGGCATGACGTTAGAGATGCTGCTGGCTCAACATTGTCCGGCTTAGCCATGGCGCCAGATGAGACTGGCTTGGTTGAGTGAGGCTTAATAGCAATGAGAGGGATTCTCCTTCCGCATTGGGCTTTGAAGCCACATGATGTTAGGACTTTTGGGGATGGCCACAGCAATGCTCAGGTGCACCCAACCAGCTAGCTAGTTTTCAGGACCAACGTTGAAGACCAGACCAGACCAGACTTCTGCAAAGACTGAGTCTTCACAGAGTTTTACCACCTTCTCTCCCATACTTGCAATGGCATTTCCTCATTTCTGGCTAAATGTAGGAGTGCTTCCAAGGATGGGCAGTGCCGACTTTGGCTCATTCAGGAGTCCTCAGCAGGACACCTTGTCGTGGGACATCCCATGCAATCCCTGCGAGTCGACACCAGCCTGGTATTTCCTCACCTCCTTGGCGACGGTCCCATGATCTCTTGATGTGTGCCTGCTACTGGTATTAGCCACCAGCTAGATTTTTTTTGAGCAAGATTTGCTTTTTTGGGGCTCCACTGAGGAAACTTTCGGTCGGTAGCGAGACAGCGTGTCTGTTTGCATTTCAACCCTGCCTTTCAAGCTCGAGCAGTTTGCCAAGAGTAATTAAAAGAGGAAGTTACAACCTTTGAGTGAAACCACAGCAGAAAATAAGTGGGCTTTTCCCCCTACACACATACACACATTTTATCCTTCTAATTTCTGCAGACTTTTCCGATAGAGTATCGAGAGGGCTCTGGGTGCACACAATATTTCATTTTTTTATTTTGTTGTCTGGTCTAAAAAACATGGAGAGGAGGAGGAAGAGTTGCCATAGAAACAGGAGCAAGTGCAAGAGCTTTTTATATGCTGTTCTGCTGCTACGTGCTACGGTCTTGGTGTGAAAGAGTGAGTAGAAGAGGAAAATCATTAAGTTTACCAGTAGCACAAGGCTCTAATATAAACTAATCTGCCTTCTGGTTTAAAGAAATATTGTTTTTTGAAGTGCATTGTTTTTTTTTTCCCCACTTCTCAAGGCAACTGGGTCTTTGCTTTGAGTGGGTTTTTGCATCATCTCCAAGTTTCTCATCAACATAGGAGTCAAAATCTCCTAGGCTGRGTCTGGAATAAGCCAGCAGGGATGAGCCCGGGAGGGTGCCCTGCTGGTCCCTGCTCGTTGTGGTCCTCCTTGGCCTCCATTCTGGCCCGTGGGTTGCACGGGTTCCCGTATCGAGTGAGGCTCCCGTGGATGCCGCGCTGGCCGTCGTTAGCGTTGTGAGCTCCTGAGCAGAGGTTGTCCTGTCTCCTTGTGGATGCGGGGCAAAATCCAGAGCGAATCCCTGAGCCCAGTTTAGCTGGCGGAGTTATTTTGGGCCTTGCCTAYTTGCTTTAGCAAACAAGGCAAGTGTAGTCACACCATCTGCCTTGCTCCTCCTTCTYGGTTGTTTTTAAAGCCTCATCGTCGTGGGCTCCTCGTCGTGCTACTTTTGACTGAGGGGTCTGAGGTCTCGTGCAAGTTCCTACACGTGYTTCTGAATAGGCAGCCTGCTTGAGGAAGGTGATAGCTCAGTTCCTTGCTGAGAAACAGAGCCCTCAAACTGGGAAGCCCAGTATAGAGCAACCCTGTTCCAGGAAAAGCTCCACTCAGSGTTGTCTCTCTTTGTTGGACACCAGAGTCAAAGTCCTTGAGGTCCAAATGTCCAGGGAACTTTGGCCTCTTTTGTGTCTGTGGGGCTRCTTGGTCATGATGTTTAACATGTAGGAGATGGGCAGTTGGAAATGGTAAAGGTTTGCTTCAGCACCAGGGAGCTTTGGGACAGCTTGTGTGTGACGTGTGATGATGMAAAATTCAAGGATAATAGCAGGTTGCTTTATCTAACGGAGTATTTAGCTAGGGCCTTTTTAGGTAAGCCAAAGACCTGCATTTCATTAAACAGTTTTGGGTCTTGATTGGACTTGGTCATGATCTCCAAGTCAATGGACAACTGGCGGCTTGGTGCAACAAGGTGACATCTAACAGAGGATGATGGRTCTGTGTTTCTCTCTTGCAATTCAGGTCGGCATTGACTTCACAGCCTCCAACGGGAACCCCCGAGACCCTTCCTCCCTCCACTATATCAATCCCATGGGAACCAACGAGTATCTGTCGGCGATCTGGGCTGTTGGTCAGATCATTCAGGACTACGACTCGTAAGCACTGTTGCCTTTGGGCTCCCACCATTGTTTTACAGGCCTTTTCCTGGTTTCCTGAAGGGCTGCTGGGATGCATTTCACCCAGTTCTGTGACTTGATTTCCCGTCTGCCAAGTAGGGGTAAATATTACCTTGCTTTTGAAAATGTCTTTGGGAGAAAGTAGCCCCTTCGCAATTGAGCTGCAGGGAATTCAATGAGGAGCCGTGTAAGGACAGAGAGAATTTCTTTCTCTCCTCATCCTTGCAGCTTGAAGTGGTTCAGTGCCCGTCACTCGGGGCAGATGAGAGCAGTCATTTGGTGCTTGCTCAGTGCCAAGCTAAATGCCCTCAGCTTGGTGATACTTGCCATTAGCCGTCATGTTGTCAAGCTGTCTCCTTCCCCAGCTGCTCTGAGGTGCGATCTAGGTATGACCTAGGAGAACATCTGAGACATTAAAGAAAACATGACAGAAGGCTGTTGGAATTGCCAGCTTTTAGGACCAAAAGAAGTGTTTAATTTGTTTAAATCCCTAACTTCTGGGTGTAGGACTGCAACAGATTCAACTGGTAGGTGAGGAGATAYCTCTAGCCTTGTGGTTGACCAAGCAACACTTAACTGTTTTCTCCCTAAAGATCAAAAGTCAAAGGGGCGACCATCTACTTTCTTGTGTTTTTTTTTTCTTTTTTAAAGCCRCTACATGATTGTGGGCAAGGAAAGGCTGGCACCTTTCTTAGTGCTGGGGTCGGCCGTACACTTGGCACTTCAGTTGTAGTGGCTGGTGTTGGCCAACTGGTGACGCAAGCCAGTCTCTGGGAACCAAAGGCGCCAGCCTGTTAGCGAGAGCTGTGCAACTAGACTCTGGTGTGTGTGTGTGTGTGTGTGTGTGTGTGTGTGTGTGTGTGTGTGTGTGTAAATACGCCCATATGGGGTTTTGTTGTTGTTGTTTTCTTCTGTTTCAGAGACAAAATGTTTCCTGCCCTGGGATTCGGTGCCCAGCTGCCGCCGGACTGGAAGGTAGAGCGCTGGGCGTGATGGGAGCCCCCGGACACGGGTCTGGCTCAGGAGGCCGAGCGGGCATGGGGTTGCCGTGCCTTGCGGCTGGGTTGGAGGGCAGGTGACCCTGTGTGGGTGTGCGGTGGGCATGGAGCCCGGGCAGCCAGCGCCTCCTCCTAGGCTGGCATTAAAGCAGCAGCTCACTGGCGTTAGCGGGCAGAGTCAGCCGTTGATTCATTTTCCTSGCAGGAGGCAGGGAAAATGCTGGGTGAAGAGATGGGACCCAGGATGCGTGTGTGAGAGCAGTGGGGCTGGGAGGGCGCTGGGAACGGAGTGGCCAGGCCAGGGGCAGTGCGCGCGGGAGCAGAGCGGAGCAAAGGGCCTTGCTGGGGTTTGCCCCRCGCTGCCACTGCTAAGGGCAGCCCCGTTCTGCAGAGGCATGTGCCGGAACATCTCGCTGGGCATGTGGCAGGCTGCAGCAGTGCTCTGAGCATCCCTGGGAGCCAGCGCGTCCCCTGCGGATGCTGCAGYTCCAGCAGGAGCCTTTGGAAAGGTTTTGGGAGCTCCTTCGCTAGCAGCACCCRGACCTTGAATGCTCCTGCCCCAAAGAGCCCGATGACACGTTGCGCCCATGGTGCCACCTTCATGAGGTGCCCCAGGACCAGGCTTTGCAGGTAGAGCCGCCTGTGTTGGCCGGAGTGCAGTGGGATTGGGAGAATGATGCCCTGCCCCTGGCAGCGCTGCTGGRCCTGTCACAGATTCACAGAATATTTAAGGTTGGAAGGGACCTCTAGAGATCATCTAGTCCAACCTYCCTGCTCAAGCAGGCACACCTACAGCATGTGGCACAGGGTGGCATCCAGGCGGGTTTTGAAGACCTCCAGAGTAGGAGACTCCACAACCTCCCTGGGCAGCCTGTTCCACTGCTCTGTCACCCTAACARTAAAGAAGTTGCTCCTCACCTGGAGACGGAACTTCTTATGCTTCAGCTTGTGGCCRTTWCCCCTCGTCCTRTCGCTGGCCACCAGTGAGAACAGCCTGTCCCCTTCCTCCCTGCATTCTCCCTTCCTGAACTTATACATATTAATCATATCCCCTCTGAGCCGTCTCTTCTCCAGAGAAAACAGGCCCAGCTCACTCAGCCTCTCTTCATACGAGAGATGTTCCATTCCCTTAATCATCCTGGTTGCYCTTCTCTGGACCCTCTCGAGAAGCTCCACGTCCCTCCTATACTGGGGTGCCCAGAACTGAACACAGTACAGCTGAGAGACTGTGGGGAGATCGTTGGTTTTCTCTGCCCTTTTCTCCAACTTGTTTTCTGATGGCCTGAGAGCCCATCAGGCTCCAGCTCCATCGTTCCTTTGTGCCTCTACAGCACTTGTGCAGTGAAGTCCCCACATTTCTGCTGTATAAGCCAGATTGAGAGGGGGTGCTGGAAGGTGCCGCCTGAGATGGAAGTCGGGTGCTGGGGCTGTTGTAGCAGTAGTTGCTCTGCTGGGAAGCTGGGATTCATGGCCATGACTCTCCCTGATTCCCTGTAATGTCTCTGAAAAGATGTTTCTGGGAAAATCACAGTGTTTGCCTTCTGGCTGGGTCTCCTCGTTGCTCTCATTGCTAATGCCCTTCATGGTCATGATTTCCTCCTGCTCTTTTGCTACGTTCCCAGCCTCTGGCACGTGCCCGGGGTTGCATCCCAGCAAGCCTTTTTGATAGGCATGGGATGCAGGGAGGTGAGTAGTGCCCTGGCCAAGCCCAGGAGAGCACGGTGTCATGAGCAGCTACGAGTTACCCACCACAGTGCTGGCCCTYGGCGCTGGGCGTGTTCTACCTGCTGAGGCCTGCTGCTTTATTTTGGATGCTCCTACCAATAATACTGGCACAGGGACCTCTCTGCTGCTCCTGTGGCCCCTTGTGCCCTCCCTTCCTGCCTGTTTGGGGACAGCGCGTAGTCTTTCTCCTGATTCCCACATGTAGCTCGCCTGCAAAACCCCAGGTGGGAGAAAGGCTGGCGGGATCCTCAGCTTGGTGAAGCCTCGTGCACTTGCAGGCCCACGGCGYGGACGTGTCCCATTGTGTGTGCATGGGCATGTCCCATAACGTGCAGATGGGGCAGGAAGAGCAAGCCCAGGAGCAGCCTCCGTCTGCTCGCCCATGAACTAATGCCGAGAAGCCTGAGCGGCTCCCTTGCCAGCCCAGCCCTTGGGCAAGAAGCAGACATGAAGTCCCCTGGTGTTGGGCCAGCAGCCTTCCTCCYGGGGGAGGAAGCCCATCTGGGCCATTTCTAATGCATACTGAGACTCCACTAGTGCAAGACCAGTCCTGATCACGCTYACCACTGCCCTGTGGCCACCACCAGCTTGCAGCTGGAGGCACCAAAAGACCAGCTCCCAAAGGTGTCCACCCAAGCTCCGCATGTGCAATGTCTTGAGCTACTCAGTTGGCCTTGACCATGGGGTAGAGCCCAGAGGTGTGGGCCCTTTCCTTCAAGCCACTGTGTTGGCTCAGCATCACGTTTCCTTCTCTAAATGTGCGGCTTCTGGACTGGCAAGGACGCAGTAAAACACGCGGGATGCCCGTGGTGGTGCTGCCCTTGCTGTGTGTTTGCCAGAGTGCCTGAGTGCAGAGGGGCAGGACATTGTGGCTGCTGCTGGGTGTCCTTTTCCTGCCGCATCTGCATGTTCCACTTTTTACCATTTCAAGCCMTTTTTCTGGCCTGCAGGCAGCCAAAATTCATTTGACTCAAGCGGGAGCTCTTGCTGTTTGCCAGGYGCAGGAGGAGATCCCTCCATGTGCACTTTGGAGCTGATTCATCCTCCCTGGCCAGCAACCGGCTCGGGTCTGTCGCTTCCTCAGGGTTTTTTTCTTTTTTTTTTTGTGTGTGGGAAAATCTCGGATAGTGGCTTCCAAGTAATACCCCTCATTTGCTCTCAGGGCTTGGATTATTTACAGAGAGAAATTGGAGATAGATGGTGTGGGGAAGGGGAGAAGCTCAGTCCCAGCAGGAGGTCCCATAGGGCAGCATCAGGAGCAGCGTCACATGCCGCGTGGAGTCAGGAGCGGGGAGCACAGCCCAGAGCTGRGAGAGCTCCTCCGTGCTGGGCTGGATGCAGGGAACTAGTTGTGGATGCTCCTCCTGCTCCACGAGCTATGTTAGAGGAAACCACCTCATTCCCCTGCCGGGATCAGGACCCAGGGCACAGCTCCCTCCAGCTCACTAATTCAACCAACCAAGACTTGTGAGAAGGCAAGGAGATCCATTCTTCCTCATTCCCAACTTCTTATTTCCCCTCAGGGCACCCAGTTGGGAATAACTCAGTCAATACACCCCTCTGACCGTGCCGACCAAGAGCCAAAGGTGGCTGTCGTAGACGAGGAACCAGCACAAAAAATGGGGAAGATCATTAAAGAGCAGAGCCGCAGAAATTGTGCTTTGTGCTGCTCGTGCTCTCGTTGCCATGGCACCTCCAAATGCTCCCACAGAACCAATCCGAGCGGGCCGCCGCGCACACAAAAGTCTCGTTGGAAATGTCAAAGAACATCTTGAATGGGAGCAGCTCCGTAAAGAGCCTCGAGCGGTTTCGCGGTGRGAACAGGAGCGGGAGGCAGATGGGCTTCAGGCTCCGTGGGCCGAGGCAAAGGCGAGACAGCAGCCCCTGCTCCGAGCGCGACACCCCGGTTCCTGCCCGCGTTCCTGCCCCTCCTGCTGCTCCACAGGGCTCCTCCCGGGGGAAGTGGTGCATGGGAAACCCATAGCTGCTATATATCCGTTTCATCAGGCTCCCCAGCAACTGCTTTACAAACGCTGGCGCTGAATAGGGATTGAGATTGATCTCTTTTTCATTTTGAAGCCCTCCTCTTGAATTTTTGAGCAGATATATCTATATATCCATTTATACACACACGCGCACACACACACACACACACACACATATGTATAAATAAAATCTGTGAAAACACCAGAGGAGATTTAGAAAGATTTGTGCCCCCAGGGGGTTCTACTCTGCAGCTAGTGCTGCCACAAACGAGGAAAGTAGCTCCAAACCAGTTGAGTGCTGTGTAAAAGAAAGAGAAGCCCACAGTTTGAGGTGCAARAAATACATATGTTTTTGTCTACCTTGTGTGCAAATGCTGATAGYGCTGAAGTTTGAATGGGCCATGCCCTGTCGCTTGCTTGAGGAYGTTTTATGGTTTGCCCAGGTAAAGACCAGTTGTGTCTCGGGTCACCTTTTGGCTGGAGTTGGAGGAGAAGGGCTGCTTTTCTCTCCCAACCTTCTAGCCCAGCACTGCTCTGCACTGCTACAGGGAATTCAGGGCTGGGATTTTCAGAGATGGGCATGATACGAAGCCCAACATGGTTCTTTCTGCTCGTGTTGGGCATTCAATCTGATGAGCAGTATCCATAGAGGAGGAATCCTTGACAAGCTACAGGATAAAATAGACTCCGAGCCAAGCTCAGCAAGTCCATGAGCTGAAGGCCCTGGTAGCAGCTCTGGCCAGACTGGTATTAGTGCCATGAATGGAAGCATTCTTGATGGCACTCAGCTGGGATGAAGATGCCCAAGCTGTAGTGTTGGCCCATGCAACAGCTCCTCAGCATTGGCGCTTGGGCAGGAGGTTTAGTTTGACCTGCTTTTGGGGTTGCCTCTGTGGTCTCGCAGAAATGGTTTCTGTGGCTTTCGACACAACGCCCGTCAGAGCGGAGAGCCCGATCAGGCGCAGGCCGCGCACGTGGATTCTCTGGCTTCGTGAACACGCGTCTCCTGGCTGAGAATCTCAGCAAGCCACCGCCCTTGGGAGCGGGGGGAAATGGCTCCGTTTTGAAACGGTGGCATGAACAAAATGGGATCGGGGCTACGGGGGATTTGATGCTCTCTCACCAAGACTGGTGAGGTTAAAATCAGTTAATCACCAGTTAAAATCATCAGGTTAAAATCCATCCGTCCCCRTCCCTGTCTTGCACCTGAGCTATCAGACTCACTTTGGTAGCACAGATAGGTGCAAAGCAAGTGTTTCGAGGCTCATGTTAGTCCTTCTGAGAAGGAGTTGACCTGGATGTTTGGCTTCTTGGTGACTGGGCTGCTACAGCAAGCTGGAGCAAGGGAGATCGTCTTCCCTTTCTGCCTTGTACTGCACAGGGCCCTTTGCAAGAGATGGGGAGCCAGGATGCTAGGAATGGGACATCTATGACGTGATGGTTGAGGGTCAGACCCGACATGTACAGCATCTAAGCTAAACTGTGAGGAAGCATCAGYTCTGCAGGAGCCTTCCACGCTAACCAAAGTCTTTTCTTCTCCCCAGGTATCCCATGAGTTTGCCATTAACTTCAATCCAACCAACCCGTTCTGTTCAGGTGAGTCCCTACCTTATATGCCTTGCAGTGTCTTCTCCTCTTCRTGCTTCATCTCTATGTTGTCTCAGGGATTTTACAGAATCAGAATCACAGAATGGTTGAGGTTGGAAAGCACCTCTAGAGATCATCTAGTCCAACCCGTCTGCTCCAGCAGGGACACCCAAGCACAGGCTCACATCCAGGCGGGTTTGGAAGATCTCCAGAGAAGGAGACTCCACAGCCTCTCTGGGCAGCCTGTGCCAGGGCTCTGGCACCCTCACTGTCTAGAAATGTTTCCTTAAGCTCCTGTGGAACTTTTGGTGCCTCAGCTTGTGGCCGTTTCCTCTAGTCCTGTCGCTGCCCACCACTGCAAAGAGGCCACCCCCTCCTCCTCACTGCCGCCCTTGAGGTATTTACACACACTGCTCAGGTCCCCCCTCAGCTTTCTCTTCTCTGGGCTGAACAGGCCCAGCTATCTCAGCCTTTGCTCATATGGCAGATGTTCCAGGCCCCGATCATCCTGGTAGCCCTGCGCTGGACTCTCTCCAGCAGCTCCACATCCCTGTTGTCCTGGGGAGCCCAGAGCTGGACACAGTCTCCAGATGTGGCCTCACCAGGGCTGTGTAGAGGGGGATGATCACCTCCCTGGASCTGCTGGAGACRCTCTTCTTAATGCAYCCCAGGATCCCGTTGRCCTTCTTGGCCACCAGGGCACACTGCTGCCTCATGGTCATCGTGTCATCCACCACGACACGGAGGTCCCTCTCTGCGGGGCTGCTCTCCAGCAGGTCAACCCCTAACCTGTACTGGTGTCCAGGGTTATTCCTCCCCAAGTGAAGGACCCTGCACTTGCTCTTGTTGAACCTCATGAGGTTTCTCACCGCCCAGTCGTCCAGTCTGTCCGAGGATTATCAGCTGGTTAATTGTGGGCTTAATAGTTCATGAGTTACACACACGTGGTTTGTAAAGATTAGCTCTTTGCCCCACGTTTCCTTTTCAAGTCCAGGAAACTGAGGCACAGAGGGGAGAAGTGATTTGGCTTGATAGCACCCAGGGATTTTGTGCAGGCAGGACCCCTGTAAGGTCCTACCCTGTAAAATCCGGCTGGGATGCTCCTTGCATCCAAGTGATGGATAAACCTCACATCAGTGCTCTGGCGTGGTCATTTACCACCTGGAAATTGGCCACCTCATARCCCAGGGGAAAGAAGGGCAGTGGGAGAGGCTGCAAAGCAGAATCTCAGTTGGCCCTCAAGGTAGTGCAGACCCCTTGGACGCTGAGGGTAACGTCCCCTTTGTTTCCTTGGTGTCTTTAAGGGGCACAAGGAGGCCACGGGATTTAAGTAGCTCTCAGATTTAACTGCGGTTCCCCTAATAAGGGGAAACTTCAGGGTTAAACAAGCCCCATGGTGAATGTTGGCAGTTTGATGCAAGAGCAGAAGCATCTTAGAAACGGCTSGCAGCACTGGTGCAGCCGCAAACCATGCATTTTAAGAGATTAGTTCTGATCCTCTAACTGGGAAAGAGTTCAGAGCCGASCTGTGTTAGGCTTGGCTTGTTTTCCTGCCACGCGTGAGCTGGGAAGGATAGTCCTGGCCAACCAGCTGGCAGAAACACCTTTTGGACAGGTTTGTGGTGTGACAGACGCAGAGGGTCTGGGGCCTTGCAGGTCAGGGCAGGGCTTTCCAAACACCACCTTTGTTTCTGGTTCTCTCTGCTGCTTCATCTGCTCTGGGTCTGTCTGGCTTTTGGTTGCACTCGGAGATCCAAGTGCTTTTCTTCTTGCTCTTCTTGGTCTGGAGCTTTTTGCAGAAACACAAGGAAAACTTTCTTTTGAGAGCGAGAGCCAGGAGGCTTCTCTTACTGAGAAGGTCTGAGAAGCTGCTGCAAAGTGATATTTGAGTGCTGCTGTGTGAAACTTGAGCTGGAAGAATTTGGGGAAAAATATGTTTTGTAACTTCAGGCCATGAGGCGGATGGTGTTTGCAACATGGTCTTGTACTTGCGGCTGGCTGGGATGCTGCCTGTTGTAACGCTTGGCCTCTCTGGTTTCCCTGAAGGTGTTGAGGGCATTGTCCAAGCGTACTCCGCCTGCCTGCCCCATATCCGCTTCTACGGACCCACAAACTTCTCGCCCATCGTCAACCACGTGGCCCGGTTCGCCGCCCAGGCAACCCAGCAGGAGTTCGCGACCGTAAGTGCGGCCGTTCCGCGGCGTCCCTGTCGCGGCTCGGCCGAGCCGGGCAGAGCGAGACGTTGCCGGCGTTACCGGGTGGTTAGATCTTCATGGGGGGCTCTGCTCCCTCGCCTTCCCTCAGGAGAGACAAGGATGCAAGCCCCGGGCGGGAGGAGGCTGCGGTTGGTCTGGGCAGTCRTCACGAAGGGGCCCATATCTGGTGCCACGTTGGGACTCTGGGGGTGCCTCAGGACGATGCGGGGCTGGTGGGGTTGTTGGCGCCTCCACCGGAGGCAAGGCTGAGACCGAGGCAGGGCAGCACACGAGGATGCTTGGCCTGTGGGCCCTGGGCACTTGGGTCTCCTGATTGACATGAGCAGGAACTTGCCTTAAAAGTCAGCAATGTCTCGCAGGCTCCAGCTCCAAAAGTGTGACGCCACTCCAGCCTCAGAGTATACCCCTGGTGTCTCAGTTTTCTTCAGGTTTGACAGCACGATGGTGTCCCAGGAGTTCGACAGGCAAGGCCTAGGCTCTGGCAGCAGGGTCCTTCCACCAGCAGCGTCCCCTGAGGCTCCCGTCCCGCGGGGCAGGGGAAGCAAAGGGACCGGCATCRTTTCTGTGGCGTTCCAAAGCCGCTCAGGTAGCAATGACAGTGCGGGCCACCCGGTACACAGACAGCTCGGCCCTGTAGGAGAAAGCGCCTGCTTTGGATTTAGCAAAAACCAGCAAGTTGCCAGGTGGGAGGAAGAGCCAACAGCACGGCAGATGATTTTGTCTGTGTGAAGTCTGCTGGTGGCTGCAGCCTTGATGATCAACTTCCTTTCCCAGCTATGCAAAAGGCTCAGCAGGCAAAAGTTGGCCAATGACACCCATCTATTTTAAGAGAGCTGAGATTAAAGCTGCCCGCAAACAATTGAGGGAAGAGCTCCTCATCCCTCGTGGCCATCACGCATCTGCTGTTCCTTTGCCCCATGTTGATGTATGTGAAGCACTTGGCAGAGGGTTAGAACTCACCCTGTCTGTAAAGCCCAGCCATGGGCTCTGGATTAGCTGTCATCACTTTAGCTGGAGAATGCAGAGTCGTTGCAAATGCTTCTTGGGAGAAAAAAACAAAATCTTCACAACAGTCAACAGAACTGCAGCTATTGAAAATCACAAATCACTGGAGGGCGAACGGAGACCAGGGCAGGAAATGCCAYGCCGTGCCTCAAGGGTGTCCCTTGAATTCGTCCAAATGTCTTGAGTACCATATACAATTCTGGTCCCATCACCTCAGAAAGGATCGAGGAGCCCTGGAAATGGCCGTGAGAGAGTTGACCAAGTTGACCATGTTCAGAGTGATGGAACGTATGAGGCGAGGTAAACCAGGGCCCAACAGTAGAGATACATGAAGTTATGAATGGTTAACAAAAGGAAGAAGTTGATCAAATCTCCGTAATTTTTATGGGCAAAACCTGTGAAATATCTCAGAAGATGACTTGATATCAGACAAGCTAAAGGAGGAAGTGATAGTTCTGGTGAGCACAATCCATTGGCTTTCAAAACAGTCTCCTGCCTCTGTTTGGTGCAGCATTAACTGGGCTGTCCTGGGGGCCAGGAGGGAACTCGGATGGTGACAGTCCTGCTGTAATAAGAGTGGGAAACTTGAGAAACTTGAGAAGGAGGCTCTCTGAGTGTTTCTAAGCTTCACTTCAATGCACAACAAGCAATTGGAGGATGATTGTCTTGGGTAAAGCACCTTCTCAATGAAGAACTCTGAAGAGACCCTCATAGAGGGGCTTGATGGCATCCTTCCAGCCTTGAAAAAAATGAGAAAGCAACCCCATTTGTTTGCTTAGCAAGAAAATTGCCCCAAGCAGTACAGGCCTCTTGTAACGCGTGCCTGGGGCGTGCAGTGGCCTCCCGCGTAACGTCTGGGATGTGGCTGATGACTGAACTTGGGCCTTTTCCTTGGAGAAGATCCTTTTGGTGTTGCTCCTGGCATATAAACATCTGAAAGCCATTGGAGAGCTCTATTTTCTAGTGAGTTTTCACGCTGCTTGGACAACCAGCGGGTTTTAGAGCCAGAATTGGGGTTCCCGAGTGACCACTTCCAGCCATTCAGCAGCCCTTGAAGCCGCAGTTGATTTGTCCATCCGCCTGTTTCCATCCATATGTCAGAGAGCAGCTCGTTAGCACAGAGGCCCCTCCAGCTGCGCCCCATTGCAGCAGACTGGTGTGAGAGCCTGGCAGTGCCAGCACGTTGCAGGGGGAGCGATGTTGGARTAAGAGGAGAAAGCCGTGGTTGAAAGAACCCATTTGGCTGGTGGATGCACATGGTCCTGTGTGGATCTACACGCCAGGAAGCACTGGGGAGCTGCAGCCATGAGTCCAGCCATGCCACTGGTGATGGAGACGCCTCCTCTGTGGTGGGTCGAACATCTTAAGAGCATAGGAGGGGCTGCTGTGGGCGCAGGACTCGAAGAGCTTCTTACAGCAGCCCAGATAGGATCTCTTGTGGGAGCTCGGAGCCAGGCTGCCCCGGCGCATCTGGGCTTGCCTTGGTTGACACTGGTGACCCGTGGCAGTGACGCAGCGCTGCTCCCAGGCTTTTTCCCCTTAAAACCCAGCTCCGCCCTTCCTGTTTTCCGGGATAATCATCCCGGTTCTCAGCCCCAGTGTCTCCAGCTGTCCCAAACAATGGCTCTCGGCTCTTCTTTTGTCTCTTGTTTTTCCATGTGAATTCAAGGCTCTGTGGCCAAACCCAGCTTGTCGGTGCCATCAGGCGTAGGAGCCGCTTGGCCGGGGCAGAGGGCAGGTCCAGCCCCACGCCCTGCGCGGAGCTTTGCCACCATGAGCCCATGGGCACCAGGAGCGGGTGCACCCGCAGCAACTTCGCCTTTAATGAGAGCCCTGAGACAACGGCCACTGGCCGGTGTGAGCGGTGGCCCCGGTCACTCGGAGGGGTTTCACTTGGCAATTCAAGCGCTGTGCTTGGAAGGAGTGAGACTCGGGGYTGTATCCCTGCCGTGCTCCATACGTGCCAGCCGAGATCCTTCACGTCCTCAGGAAGCCTCGTGACTCGTGTAAATGTGAAGGAGCCCGAGCTGTGCTTGGGGTTTCGCACCAAGGAGTGGAGAAGGAAGGGAGAAAACACTTAGGGAAGATTTCAGAAGACAAGATGTGGGCTGGAGAGAGAAAATAAGGCAAGAAAATGGGCTTTGGGCTGCCTGCCTTGTTGTGTTGCTCCTAGGATTTCTGACGCAGTGGTTTTGATGGGGAATGGAAAGAATTAGAGGAGAAACAAAGAAAGAGCTTTAATGCTCTTAAGTGCTGATTTGTCATCCTTTTGCCAGCACACAGGAGATGCCTAATGCACCCAAATTGAAGTGCTGCGCTCGCCTGCAGCGGAGGAGCTGGAGGAGGAGACGGTCCTTTCTGGTGGCCTCTGGTGTCACCGCTGTCCTGAGCTGAGCCCGGCAGAGCTGCTGCTGGTCCCAGCGCCGTCCTGAGCCCTTTTCCCGGGTTCAGAGGCGAGGGGGACACCAGCACCATGCACAGAGTGTGCACAGAGCGCCTGGCAGCATGATAGGTSCCTGGCGGTGAAGAGGAGCCAGGTGGCTTCCTCCCAGGGCCCTCGGTGGTGCCCAGTAGCCTGTCTCAAAGCTCTGGGAAATGCAGGAGCATCTGGCAGCAGCGCCAGTGTGTGTGTGGGGTGGTGCATTGTGTCCACTCCTGGAAACAGCAGGAAGAACCTCTGGCTGCTCAGAGGAGTTGCAGAGTTTCCTCTGGAGACTTTCAAGCTCCACCTGGATGTGCTCCTGCTTGTGCTTGGACTGGATRTTCTCCAGAGGTCCCCTTCCAACCTCAACCCTTCTATGGGAAGGATTTCAGGTCCCCGATGAACTTTCATCCCGCCTTGGGAAGCCAGTAGGTGTTATAGGTCTCCTTTGCTTCTTCCACAGCAATACTTCATCCTCCTCATCATCACAGACGGGGTCATCAGCGACATGGACGAGACGAGACACGCCGTGGTGCAGGCGTCCAAGCTGCCCATGTCCATCATCATCGTGGGCGTGGGCAACGCCGACTTCGCCGCCATGGAGTTCCTCGATGGGGACAGCCGCGTGCTGCGCTCGCACACCGGCGAGGAGGCCGCCCGCGACATCGTGCAGTTCGTGCCCTTCAGGGACTTCCGCAACGTGAGTGCGCGGTGGCATCCGCAGCGTCACGAGGGGCCAGGCGCTGTCCACAGTGTCTCCCAGTGACGTCTCGAGGGGGTGTCAAGTGAACACGGACGTTTGGAGCGGGGAGAGMGTTGGCCACGAGCCGCTCGCCCGGCTCGTCCTCTCCCACAGGCCCCTTGCGGTGGCCTTCTGCGCGGGGTGGCCGAGCTGCGGGGCGCCGGCCCGTCCTCACGCGCGTGTCTCTTGCAGGCCCCCAAGGAAACGCTGGCCAAGGCGGTGCTGGCAGAGCTGCCCCAGCAAGTCGTGCAGTACTTCAAGCACCAGAACCTGCCGCCCATCAACTCGGCGCCCGCGTAGGGCCGCGCCGCGCCGCCTGCATGTCGCCCAGCCTGCCGGTCTGTGCTGGAAGCGCGTGGGCCACGTGCTCTGAGGAGGAGAACGCCCTGCCCCGACACACACACACTTTGTACTTAATTGTTACGGTCTTAAAATGCATCCCAGACAAGCACCTGGATTTGGTTCTTTTGTACAGTCCTGGGCTGAGATGACCATGCCCCGGGCCTGCTCCGTTGAGTCACTTTTCAGTATTGAATGTACTTTGTACAATTTTAGTGGAACGGGACACAGTTTTTACAATCAAAACTTGCTTTTTTCCCCCYTAAACAATGGAGCACTTAATATCTTCTTCTCATCATTCATTGAACAGGTCCTGTAAAGGTCCCGTATCTGTGTTGTACCTCTGTCATGCTCTATGTTCATTTTTATACTGTGTACTTGTTATATTTGTTATACTCAGGTTAATAAAGAAACTGGGACATTTAAAGCCAGGTTGTCCTCTCCTGTTGTGAAAAATCTCAGAGTATCTTATGGGCGTTCAGACATGGAGCTGGGACAAGAGCACGGGATCATCTCCAGCACAGGGAAGCCCAATGCCAGGGTGAGGGTGGCCTAAAAGCAGACCCTTTGGGGCAGTGACAGGGGTGACAGTGCTGCTTCCTGGGGCTTTGAGGCTCTTTGAAGAGGAGCTCAGGGCTCTAACTGCTTCCTCTCACCTGCAGGTGCCTCAGAAGGTCTTTCTTCAGTGTGGAGGGAAAAATAAAGCACAACAAAGCTGCAGAGGGGCAGGTTACTGCGAGGGGGGAYGTTCTGTGGGCACAGGGCAGCTGAGCCAAGTGCCAGGGCTGCAGCTCTTTGGGATGTGGGCAGGAAAGCTGCGTGTCCAGCTGCAGCAACCTCAGGAGGGACCTGGGCCAGGTCCTTGCAGCTTCATCCTTAGAAATCATCCCAAGCTGATAGACCCCAACCTGGCTGGCAGGAGCTTGGCCACGGCAGCACCTGGGTAATTAAGTGCCATTCCCCGGCCTGTTTTTGAACATGGGATCAGAAAAGTGACAGTGGCAACATGCATTCCCAGTCCCAGGCACTGCTTAAGTAGGCTCTGTAACAGCTTCCAGCTCCCCTARGGCCTTTCTTCTGGGAACAACAGGAAAGAGGGGTCTCCCACACCAGCTTTGACCGAGTTACGCCTCCTTCTGGCCCTACAGGTTTTAGCGGAGCCAGCAGGACCTCCCTTCTGGCCTCCCGTGTTGTCTTGAAGACCATCACAACGTTGGCGCAAAATGGGCTGCAAAAAACCTCCCAGCACTCGAATCCAGCCCTTTGCTTGATTGGGATGGTGGAGGACGGGAGAGGCTGTGCAAAGCATCACCCTTGGAGGCCTGTATTCCTGCTGCCCACTTGAGGATCCTTCAACGTAATCAGCAGTCTCCTTGTGCCTTCTGGAAAAGCTCAGCCCTTGAGCGAAGGCAGGAATCCTGCTCCAGGCCCTTGGCTCTCACCCCTGCCCCTCTCGTGCAGCTGCTGCCTTCCCCGTTGCTCAGTGTCACRTTTGGTATCACCTTGGCTCATACACATCAGCTTCTCCCCTCCCACCCATTTTCTCAGCAGCTCAGACACTTGTGAGGCCAGTGAGTGGAGCAGGGCTGCCACGTGGGAGGCTGTGGGAAAGAAATTCCCACCTCTGAGCAGTCAGTCTAGCTGTTCCAGCCTCCCAACGGGRCACTGCTTGGGTGCAGCGATGAGAAGAGGGGAGCCTCAGCACTCACAGCTTGCTTGATGCTCAGGGCTGGATCCCTCATCCACACTCCCAGTTAAAGCTTCTTAAATAGCAATAAAACATCAATAGCYGTCCACCCTCTTATTGCAAAGGCTTCTCGTGTGCGCGTGCACCCTAAAAAAGGTTGGGAGATCCCACCTGCTGTGGCTTCACATTGTTCAGGATGCTCTCATAGGGAAGCTGAATGATCATCCAAGCGCTGGCTGGAGGAGCAATAGTTTGGTTTTTATTTAGGAGAGCAGTTGGCTCCTGTTTCTCCAAACCCTGCGGCGCGGAGTGGAGCGTCGCCTCTCCGCGGCTGCACGTCCCTCGCGTGGCAGCTCGGGCAAGGGCTGGCGGCTACAGGAATTGCTCAATGAAAAAGGAACAGTTATGAATGGCAGAGGCACGGGGAAGACATGCACTCAGAATGTCTTTAATCATGTAACACTAAAACTTCTTTACAGTGTCATGGCAATCTACACTTCACCATCTGCTTGATTTTTATTCTGCCCCCCCTTTCACAAATACAGAATAAAAATGACATTTTAAAACAGAACACATGGCTGTTTCTACAAGACTTCAGTGCTTCAAGTGAGTATTTTTTCGCCTGCTAGTCTTGTATAAACTTCTTAGATCACCAGGATTTTTGTTTTTCCTTTCCTTAAGAAATTTAAAAGATAAGGCCTTCCCTTCCCTATCGCCAGACCTTGATTACGTTGGTAGATGTGCCCTCTGCTTTGGGGTGGCAACCTTCCCCTCGGGCTCGGTACACACCCCAGAACTGCAAAGTTGAGAGGGAAGACGAAAAACAAAGAAAAAGAACAAGAAAAAGAAAGAGAAAGGTGGGGATTGGATGGGTTGTTTTAGAAGAATCTGAGGGTACCAAGGCTTAAACTGAAAGGTTAGCTGGGAAAATCACATTTGGGGCAAAGGATGCATCAAGCATCCACCAGGGCCCTGGAAGAGACTCTGCACTACATTACACACGGAGGGGTTTTGCTATTGACCATCAAAGAAACTGTTGCTACGGAAGACGGAGGAGACGATCTTCCCGGTGGAGTTGATGGTGCCCTCGCTGTCCGAGCTGGACTCGGAGTCGCTGCTTCCCGAGTAGGCGCCCAGGCCGGGCAGGATCCCTATGCACACGGCGGCCGAGGGACAGTGCACCGCGGAGCCTCCCACCGCRCCGCTCCCCAGGGCGACGCCGGGCGTCTTCTCTGAAAGGGAGACACGGGGTGAGAGCCGGAGCGCGGGACAGGGCGTCGCAGCACTCGCCCGCTCGGCACCAACGCCGGCTTTAACCAAGGCCTAAGGCACCTTCGTGCCACCCACCCTGAACCCCTCCGACAGGAGGGACTCCATACCTCAAGTGCTGTTTTCCCATCGCTAGTTCAAATCCAGCTCGGTGCTGGCTTGATGCTTGTCAACTACCAAGCCCACCCCATAGGAATAAATAGCTGGGCTCTGTGTAATTGAGCATTTTTGCCACGTAGCAGCATAGTTGGGGGAAAAGTTGCATTCTGCTGCTCCGCCAGTCAATGCCTCCCATCTTCCACGGCTAATTAATTTTTTTCCAGTGTACTGGAAGTTAAATGAACAGAAGGAGTTTCAGGAAGCGCCTTGGGTTGTCGTTACACAATTACGGCTCAGCCTATTTATGTCAGGGTATCTTGACAGCAAGTCAGCTGCAGCCATGACAGCTGAGCAGCACAACTCATTTTTTTTTCTTGCAATTGCCTGTGATTTCCTGAAAGAAACGGATTTGGTGATGGACAAGGTCACCGCGCAGCCGGAGCRGTTACCGGCGCACGTACAAGCTGCCGGGAGGGCAGGTGTGCAGGGGGCAATCCGGGGAAGAGGCAGGGAATGCTCCACGCTCCTCGCCTCCTGCGGCACGGACAAGCTGCGTTAGGCTTGAAACGTGGCTAAGGAGGTCATCTGGTAAAACRCTTCAGGGTCACGTCTGTTGAGCACTAAGATGAACTGCCCAAGGAGGGTGCACAGTTTGAGTGAGGGGGATTAAGAGCAGCTTGGACAAGCACCTCCCCGGAATGGTTTAGGCAGGGGACAGCCGTGACCCACAGAGCTTCCTTCCAGCCCTGTGTTCTGCGACGGCTGCAACCTCTGCCAGCGCCTCCAGGCACTATTTGCAGTGCTTTAAGAGATGACCATACGAGATCCACAGCCCGGGCTGCCTTGCACATCGAGGGAGAGGCCAAAAGCAACCCCCCCCATCAGATTAACACTGGTAATTAAATTAGCAAATAGGTAAGAGGCAATCAGCTTCCCAAATGCCACAGTCGGGACCTACCTTGACTCTTCTCGTCGTGCTCAGAGTCTAGTTTCAGCCTCTTCACGCTGTTCCCACCGTCCGAACTGTGAACAAACAAGGCATTGCCTAGTTCCCGAGGCAGCCTCCTGACAACTGTGAAGTTACTGGCACGTTTTTGCCTCTACTGCTACAGAGAATTTGAGCAGAAGCCCCTGAAAACCCTCACCATYCCTAACTAGCTGCCTCTGACCTAACACAGAAAAGGAGGAAAGAGGAAAGGTTATTCTGTGCAGGGAGCAGAGGTCAGTTACAGGCAAACAAGGGAATCCAAAGAGCAGATGTTGAACTTGTGCTACACTCGACCTTGGCCGGTTGGCAGTAGGACGACAGCACTGCAGAAATAGAGGACTGCAAAGAAAGTCTGTGATGGCCTTGGCACATCAGCTTTAAAACGCTCTCCTCAAAGAGCTGCCATCTGCAGGCTTCAGATGTGCCACGAATGCCAGCTCCTTCTCGACATCCTCCTGGCTCAAGTACCAATAGTTAAAGAGGAAAAKAAACCATTTTGGCTGCATGTTATCAGTCAAAGGGTTTTCTCCTCTTCCCTAAAACAAACAAAAAACAAACAGCCAGCTATCCAAAACCCCACGCTAGGTATTGGAAGAGCCTATTTCAGCATAGACATGGGTGTACTGGAAACTAAAGCRCATCTCTGTCTGGGAAAGATTCAAAAATACTAACTTAATTTTGGAATGACAGTTGTCATCTGAATTACCAGATGACCAGCCTATGGGAAACAAATCTGGCCTCAGATACTTAATTTCTCCATCATCTCTTTGCAGGTCAAAGCCAAAGAGCAAACAGGCCACGATGCCAACTACTACCTCCCCGGGATAAAAAGGGTGATGTACCAGTGCAAACCAGCAAGAAACAAGGAGAGCCTGCTCACTGCCTTCAGTTCTTTTCTCATGACCTACCTCTTCTGCATGCTGCCCCCAGCAACAGTTCAAAGCATCAGTTTTTGACACAGATAAACTGACAGATTATGCAGATACGAATCAAGTTACACGAGTGAGGCGACACTGACATTTTTTCAAATAGAGATGTGTAACATTTTGCCCTGCATCGCCAAGCAAGGCCACACAAGCTTGGCAGATCTTGTTTGCAGAAGTCTACTCGCTTGCTTTACACATGCTTATCTCTTTGAATTGCCTCATGTTTTGCCCACAGTTTGCAAGAGCCTATAGAAACACGACTGGTCTTTTCTGATACCTTCCCCCTTTTTTCTTTAGAGTTAAGGTTTGCACCTCACTCTCTGGAGGCAGTTTTGGCCTGCCTCCCTTTACACTGTTAACTAGGTTGCATTCCTCATGAATTTATAGAGGTGTGAAACGAACCTTCTGTGTTTCACAGCTCCTGCCAACAGCTTTGCCTGAGAGAATTTGTTCTTGTTTTCCACTGACTTCATGGGCAATTTCTTCTCAGTTTCCTTCTTTGGGTCCGCGCTGACTCCCACTTTGGTGAGAGTGCTGTGAATTAAGGGTTAAGGATCAATAAGAAAAGAAGAGAAAGAAAAGATACTTCCTCTTTGATATAATTAGCCAGCCTGCTGCTCATTCACATACTACGTGGAAAGAAATTTATTGTAATGACGTTTAGCTGGCAACTTTGGTCAGAAGAGCCTGCGCACTTTTCACTTACGAGCTGTTCATGAACCAGCTCCAGGCAGCAGGTAGCAGCTTGCTCTGAATAGGAGCTGCATCTTGGAAGGAGGAAAGGGAATAGGAGCTGCATCTTGGAAGGAGGAAAGGGCAAACGCACCGCACATCCAGCACCCATAAACACGGGCAGCCTCCTGCATTTAATTTAAGCTCACAGATGCAAAAAGGTGGAACTTCGCAAAAATTGCCCTGGACAACCCAGTACTTCCCTGCACTGCCAAAGCAAAGCTGTCCAGCTTTCGGTATCGGGATGTACCAAACTAACTTTTTTTTTCAGCTCATTTCTTTGCAAAGGCCACAAGGGTATTAGTGAAGCAGACTGCTCTTTCACAGCCAGTTTGAACACTAAATCCAAAAGGAAAGAGGCAAATCCGATTAAAGGTCTACRAGGTCCAACATCCACCCAAAGACTATGAACACACAGGAAAAACAATAGCAAGTAGCTTAAAACAGGGTTATAAAGTTGGGGTGCAGATGAATCACATAGTGAAATGGTAAAGTTGAGGACTTTCAGATTGGATGACAAGGAGCTTTGTCCCTTCTTAAGGCCCACTCAATCTGCAAGCACACTACACATATCTCCTCCTATGGCCTTATCTAGTCCTGTCCCTAACGCTTGATATTCAGCTGCACCTCATAAAAATGAGGCCTTTCAAAGACCATGCTTGTTAATGAGGCAGCAGTGGAGCCACAGAGGCCTCGCAGGAGCTTTATAACTGCACACAGTTCCAAAAAAAATAGCCTAACTTAAAAGGATTTTGTTTAGAACCTTAAATCTGTTTTTTATTGGTGTCTTCTTTGATTACAATTCTACTGACCAGCTGATACCCGAGTTTTCCATGTAGGCCATTTGTTACATGTAGCTACGAGACCCAGTGGATTTCATACTGACGGGCCGCATGTTTGAAGTGGCAGAGGTTTGGTTGTCTTTTCCCCTGAGCTATTAAAAAAAGCTCTCAGCTTGCTTCGAAACAGCACACTCCAAGTCTCGGATCCCTTTAAAGCTGGGGGCATGCAGACGTCACTCCTAATTTGATCTTTCCTAAAGATGCCTCAATCACCCAAATGCAACCCTTCCTCAACCAAAGCTCTCAGCACCCAAAAGCAGCCTGTTCAGTTGTCAGACGAGACGGGAGTGCCATCCTGTGGCTAACAGGAGTAATTTGAAAGCTCTTTTTACGTCCAAAGAGCTTCCTGCTGCCCCGCATTTTTACACACCACAGTACTTGTCTCTTCGCACTTGGTGTTCACTGCTCTGTCACCTCTTAATATTGCACCACGAAAGCSTTGCCGAAGTAGCAAAGCCCTTTCTTTTAAAAGATACCAAATTATGGGCTTTTTACTTTTATGCAAGATGCTTCTAACGCTCCTAAGCTAGCAGAGATACAGCACGTCTAACGGGAACGACTACCAGCTTCAAAAGATTTTCACCTGCACGTACTGCAATTGCTAACAAATGTAACACTATCCCTACCAAAAGCGTGTCTCCTTTTTGTAAGATTATATTAAAATAAAGGTCTCAATCTTAAGTGTCAACTGCACTATRAAAAGCTCTTTAACAGGAAAGCTCAAGTTTCTTGGAGAGAGGATCTTTCTATGTTTGCACAATATTTAAGCCAAGGGAAGTTATTCCTGGAATTGGCTTAAAGAAAAAAAAAAAAAATCGGCGAGATCTTTAATCACAATCAGACAATGATGAAGGGAGAGAAAATAATCACGCAATATGAAGTCAAACTTCCATACATCCCTGCAAATGATCGAGATAATCAAACCCACCGAGTTTCCTCTTTTTCGTTTGGAGCTCTTGAGCAGCACCACTAAATGCAGAAGGTTTACACAGCAGCTGGCTCATTTTGTCACTACAGTGATAAACCTTCGGTTAACATCTGATAAGGCTTAACACTACAAAAAACCCCACAGATTTTGCATTTTGAGAGAGTGTCTCCAAAGTTATGTTTAAAAAAAGAAAAGAAGGACAAAAAAAGACAGAATGAGAAAGAATGGGTAAAAGCTTCCCAGCTTTCTGTGAGAGGAGGYGACCTCAGACCGAAGCAGCTCCCGCTACCCGTGCCATCAACAACACATCCTGCAGCGGAATTTACAGCCCGCCTGCGCACAAAAGCAGAGGATTCTGCAGAGGGTGCAAAGGCCGAGGCTGGAGGCGCTAAGTCGGGAGGAGGCTCCTGCCGAGGAAGCTCCGGGATCAGGGCACGACGTGCTAATCCGGAATATTCCCTCCCGGCTGGCGCAGCTCACCCTGCACGTGTGCGACCTGACTCGAGCCGTTGGCTGCTGAACTGGGGAGACAACTTAGACGTTCTTCACAGAACACACAAGCAAAATATATCTCTTCTCCACTGAGAATTATTAACGAATACATAGTAATGTATTCATTAATCAGCATTATTTAGCTTTTTTTGCTCACTACTTTTGGTCACCTCATAAATATGAGCYGTTTGTTCTTCCTTGTGTCCATAAGCTCTCATTTCTACTAGAGCATCCCGGAGAACTTGCATTTTGTCCAATGATTATGTAAAGTGAAGGTTTTYCTCAGGTCTCAAAAAGAGGCAAAGGAAGCACTGGCTTCTGCAGAACCCCAGGAAACCTCCTCTCCTGACCCTTACATCACAACATGCAGCTTMGCACAGGCCCCAAATCATTCCCGACCTCCCCTCCCTGGCAAAGATGGGAGGGAAAAGCTGCCTATACTGCTCCCCAGATGTTCACTAACAGTGGCGTTTAACAGCAAATTGTAACTGCCTGGTCCTTAGCAGGACTGAACACTGTAGCCTTCTCCAAAGCCGTCAAGCCTCCGACGGTGCCRGCTTTCCCAAAGCAAGTCACATCTGCACGGCTCGTTCACTTATTCTTAATTTCTCATCTTGCAGCTACAACCAAGGAAAACCTAATACTTTCAGAAGAATAACAGAGCAAGTCGAGCACTATTACAAGCAGGTACCTTAAAAACATCCAATATGCAGTTAAGAACAAGTCAATAATATTTGGCTTTGAATAAAGAGATGAAAAAAATAGAAGTTTCCTTTCCATCTTTCCTTTACATCCACTTACTCTTTTTAGCTTTGATATTTTATGCTCTCAATGAGAAAAAAAAAAAAAGCAATCGGGAGAAAAGAAAAAATAATGGAGATATTGGGGGAACATTGTCATGGGAGATTGAAACTACAACAACCTTAAAGGGTTATCACTGCACATGTTCTCTACAGTGTTTTATAGAAAGACTGAATTACAGAATAAAACCACAGCCTCGTCTCTTAACCTCCTATATACGATGGCCAGCCGTCTCCGTGCAAAGGATATTCTGTATTCATTCAGCTCTTTCAGCTCCTCTTCTCTTCGTTGCTTTTCTATTAGCTCCTGCTGCCGAGAAACCTCATCAAGGAAATTTGTCTCGTCTTCATCTAAACCTCTTACCATATTTTCTGGGGAAAAAAAAAAAAAAAAAAGGCAAAGAAAGCGTATTTATTAACTAAAGCCATTGGGAGAGCAGGTATTTATCTCGCATTAGTTACAGTGTTTTTCATCTACCTCATAACCTGCAGGTAACCATCCACAGCTCACATGGCACATTCTTAACACTGCTGAGGTGGGACAACTCGCCCCGAGCTCTGGGGACGCAGGGATTAGAGTCCTTACCTGCGCAGCCAGGTGAAGGGTACAAAGTGAACCCCACAAAGGAAAAGTGATCTGTTGCTTCTGGAATTCTCTACAAGTGCCTCCTAAACACTCAGGCACATGTGCTAACACAGCCTGATCACAGGAGTGTTACCAAGAAGAAAAACGAGGCAGAAATCTGTAGGGGGAAGTCACGTAATGCTAGGCTTGCTGATATAATAACAGAAAGTCAAACAAGTCTTCACACAAGCAGCTTTTCCCCACTTCTGAATGGCAATTTTGGAACAGGTTACACAGAACAAGGAATAATAATATAAAGGAATGATCTACTGGCAGCTTTGGTTTTGGTGAGTCAAATACGTCAACTCAGAATGCACTATTAAATTAACCACAGTTGGAAAAAGTACATTACTTCTCTCCCTATAAATCTTTCCTCAAATTAGGAAGCACATTTTCTTAAAGCAGAAAAAAATAAAGATTTGGTGTTTAAACTATCTATTTTAAAAATTTAGAAGAAGTTTTAATTTCAAAATTTCTAAACCTGTAAACATACTGCTCTCTTGCTTCAAGGAGAGCACCCGCTAGGTCAGTAAGAAAGTCTGTGACTTTTTTTCTGCAAATTTTCAGCACCTTTTAATCAAAATCATAAATTTAGAGAGGTAACAAAAAGGCTGCTTTAAAAGACTTAGTATTTCCATTTCCAGCCATCCTGAGACATTTGAACCACCTTTAACCTTGATTAGAGTTTAATTCCACATCAGGATTTCAAGCCCTTTAACAAAAGGTAATCATACTTTGATGGAAGAGATTTAAAAAAAAAAAAAAAAAAGAAAGAAAATATAGAAGGTTACTTTTTAAACCATGAACCCTCATCTTTCAACTGCCCAAAGGCACAACTCATTCCTATGTGTCCAAACAGCAACTTGTACCACTGAGGACCTCTTCCAACAGACAGCAAAAGCAGTGCTTCATTTCATTGTGCACATGCCTGATCTGAAACCTAAGAGCAGCAGCTGAAAAGGTTATTCTGACTACAGTTTTAGTAGGGAAGCTCTCTAAGGCCCTTCAGAAGAAACAAGTACTTTGTAGAACGCTGTGTTTGCTCTTCAAATAGCAGGCCTCTCATTAGCACTATTCTGTAAGGCTTGCCTTAAAACCAGTATTTGGTTTATTTCCCCAACCCCCTTCTCATGGATGTTTCTCATTCCAGTACTTGGTTTACAGGTTTCCTAAAACAGAATAAAGATCCTAGAGATTTAATACAGCTAGGGAAGGGAAGCAATTTATTTGGAGAGTTATTAGAAATATTCAGCTCCAAGGCCATTAGCAGACCGTTGCTTATTCCCTCTTTTTCAAAATATCTGCAGTGCACGTTTTTAAGGGAAATTAAAGTATTGAAGGGACAAAAGTTGTCACAAAGGGCCAAATTTGGCTCAACTCTAAACTAATAAACTGGGGGCTCACAAGCCCCCCAACAGCGATCTTCTCCCAAAGAAATTTGACTGCAGGCAAGTATCTACACACCCAAAAAAATCTGCAGCATCACAGTTCTGCAGGATCAGGGAGTGTATTTAATAGAGCTCAAATTCTGTGCCGTAATTAAAGAAAACAAATAGTTCTGTTGTGTAGCATCAACAAGAAAACTCTAGACAAAATCCAGCTGGGCAAACCAGGGCTTAGAAACAAACAAACAAAGGTGTGAGGATGAGGCTTCCATCTAAAAAATCAAAATCATTCAGAAGCCCCCATAAAAAATGAAGCATCAGCCTCACTTCTCTTTAGATAGAGCTAATAGTTCCCTTTCTCCCAAAAGGGTTGATTTTCCTGGTTCTCATTATCATCTTTGCGCTCAGCAGCACAAATACAGTTGATAGGGAGGAAAAGGCTTTTTCTTTAAAACCAAACAGAAATTATGTTTTCATTCTATTTCCACGAGCCAAGTATTTAGTTTTTGAAAAATAAACTCCTATATATTTACTTCATCTGAATGCTAATCTTGACCTCAAGTAATTCACTCAACTAATTATGGGAAATATAACACTGTCTGGAAGAGTATTCCTTTTTACTGGTTCACACAAGATGGGCTTGTGTTACAGCATGAGTTCAGGAGTCAGGAAACCAAGCCACAATTCCATTTTTCCATTATTTGTTATCAGGATTTTGTCTGTTTAACTTTTAAGTTTCCCATGTGTGTAGAGCTGTGCTGGTGTACAGAATAATATATTATTTACAGGGGAAAAAAAAATCTTTTTTTTGCTGGTTTTAATAACAACTGCTGGTGCTTACTGAATTTAAATTGCTCCTCAAACTCCTGCTGTTTCTTTTCTCTCTGCTCCTGAAGTCTTTCATACAACGAACGTGGGTCATATGCCTCCTCGGGGCATTCTGAAAAATAGGAGGAAATCGGAAAATTAGACCATTTGTTAGACATACTAAGTCACCAAAACTTCTCAAGTCCTTCAGTTTTTTTGAACTCGTAAGACACAGGGTATTATTACCCTTGCACTTTCATTTTCCATGAGAGTGAATATTCCCAGCTCTCGTCCTTAAAATCACTACCACGCATCCCATACCTACGGGATCTTCAGGTTTCCGGACCTTCTCCCATTCCTCCTGCCTCCTCTTGCGCCGCTCTTCTAGCTCCGCTTCGGACACAAAGCGCTTGTTAATGACGAGGTCAGCGCTCCCGTCGCCCCCATCCATCGTGGCACAGGCTGTCACAAACACAACGGCAAAGGCACCAGACACTTGACTTCCCCATCACTACCAGCCTTCCTCAAAAGCAGACCCCGTCAAGGAGCACGGCAAGATATAAAGCAGATGTTACATTCTCATACTGCAGTCTAAAGACACACAAAAATACCTTTTGCACCAATAAAATTAGCCATTATAGTGTGTGGGGGGGTGTGTGTGAATAATTTCATTTGTCCAGACCAGCGAGCCTTCACTGAGATACCCAACGGCTGCAAAACTGTTAAGATTAATAGCAGCACCTAATACTCCTTACTGCTTCCCAAAATATGCCTTCCTCTTAGCTGCCTGCCTCTGGATGCTTTTCTAAAAGTCGCATTTCAATGCAATGGCCCTTCCCTCAGCTTGGATTTACCTTGGCTATACCCCTCTGCTCCTCAAGAAAGGGCACGAGACTCATCTTCCATTTTATATATTTTTCTGCCCATCCCGTGAATACTGGCACAAGTTTCCCTATTTTCAGCGCTTCCAGGAATCACCAGGTGCCTCCCCAGCCACCCGCCGCCTTTCGAATCGCTCTGTACCACGACGATACAGGCACCAAGGAGCAGTTTGGCTTGGCCCCGTCCAAACCTCGGCTTCCCACCAGGAGGCCAGCCGCAACAATTAACTCATTAATGCTCGTTTTTCTTTTCCCGGTCCTCGGCTTCTCCCCCTTTCCTCGACACGAGCCCAGCCGCAGCGGGGCAGGCCAGGGCCGCTACGGCCTCCTACGGCTCCGGGCTGCCGCAGGAACCGCCGCCTTTGGGGGCCCTTTTGGTCGTTTGCCAGGCGGCACGGGGGCGCCCGGCCGAGCGCCCCGCCCCGCCCCGCCCCGCCCGGGCTGCGGCCCCGCTCGTTACCGCGGCCCGTCACGGCCGGACGCGCAGCCTACAGCGCCGCCATGGCACCCCCTCCGCCCCGCTCCGCTCGCCGCGGCACCCGCCCCTTCCGCCCGCCGCAGCCAATCGCGGCTGCACTTCCACAGGAACCCCCCTCGCCGCTCTCCGCACGCTAGCCAATCCTAGCCGCCCTTACGGGAGGCCGGGCGACGGTAGTGGGAGAGAAGGAGCCGCCGATTGGCTGTCAGGCGACGTC